AGTATAGTACGGCATAAAATGCAAAAAAACATTCCATAAGTATATTAATGCATAAAGGTCATAATAAACATTTATATAGGCAAGGAAACAAAAAAGCATAGTATACGTAAGTCATAAAATGCCAAAAACGTCATATTATAGTATGGCATAAAAATGCCAAAAAATCGTCATGAGATAGTATGGCATGAAATTGTGCAAAAAAAACATCAATATATAATTAATGCATTAAAGGTCATAATAACAAATCATAGTATGGCAAGGAAACAAAAAACATAGTATAGTAAGTCAATAAAAAATGCCAAAAAAACGTCATAATTAAATATGGCATAAAATGCAAAAAACGTATAGTATAGTAAATGGCATAAAAAATGTCAAAAAATCCATCATAGTTTATTAATGCATTAAAGGTCATAATAACATCAATAATTATGGCATAAGGAAACAAAAACATAAGTATAGTAAAAGTCATAAAATGTCAAAAAACGTTATGTATAGTAAGTCAATAAAAAATGCCACAAAACGTCATAGTATAGTATTGGCATAAAATGTCAAAAAACATCATAGTATATTATGCATAAAGGTCATAATAACATCATAATATGGCAAGGAAACAAAACATAAGGTTTAGTAAGTCATCAAAAATGTCAAAAAACGTCATAGTATAGTAAGTCAGAAAAATGCCAAAAAAACGTCCTGAGTATAGTATGGCATAAAAATGTCAAAAAAACATCATAGTATATTAATGCATTAAAGGTCATAATAACATCATAGTATGGCAAGGAAACAAAAAACATAGTATAGTAAGTCATAAAAATGTCAAAAAACATCATAGTATAGTAAGTCATAAAGTCATAAAAATGCCAAAAAACGTCATAGTATAGTATGGCATAAAATGTCATAAAAACATCTAGTATATTAATGCATTAAAGGTCATAATAACATCATAGTATGGCAAGGAAACAAAAAACATAGTATAGTAAGTCATAAAAATGTCAAAAAACGTCATAGTATAGTAAGTCATAAAAATGCCAAAAAACGTCATAGTATAGTACGGCATAAAAATGCCAAAAAACGTCATAGTATAGTATGGCATAAAATGTCATAAAAATATCATAATATGCTATGGCATAAGAAAACATAGTATAAATAATGCATAAAATGTCTTTAAAAACATTATAGTATAGTAAGGCATAATATGTCACAGTATAGTGAAGCGTAAAAATGTTATCTGATAGTATTGCATAAAAACATCAAAAGACATCATAGTATAGTATCATAGAACAATCACATTTTGAACTTTGGTTTATCACACTTTCTACCTTTGTCCCTCTAAGACCTAGCTTTACAAATCCCATGATTTGAATCTGTCTTTACATGTATGCTTTTTTTCTGGTCCTGCATGGTACAAACTTAGGAGTTGCTTCTCCTTGACCACACAGGTGTTTCTCTCTGAGGTTGACACTTTTGATGGCACCCAGAATTGTTCACACACACACATCCTGACGATGCATCCTTTACTTCTTTCTCTAATAAGTGCATGGCCACTCTTTATTTGACCTCAGTCTGCAATTACACTCTGTTGGGACTGCTGGCTGATCTTTTGCAAAGATGGTATTAAAAGACACAGGGACAACTTGATCATTTATCAACTTTTTATTTTCAGATTTCCATCACAATAGTAAGGCATAAAATGTCATTAAATGCTCTTAGGCATAATACAACATAGTATAGTAAGGCATAGAAATGTCAAAATACATCATAGTATAATATGGCATAAAACGTCATAAAAACATCATAGTATATTAAGGCATAAAAGGTCATAAAAACATCATAGTATAGAATGGCATAATAAGACCCTGTATAGTAAGGCATTAAATTATATAGTATAGTAAGTCACAAAACTACATATTATAGTAAAGCATAAAAGGTCATAAAAACGTTATAGTATGGTAAGACATAAGACGACAAAAAATGATCATAGTAATTAAGGCATTGAAGGTTTTCAAAATGTCATAGTATGGCAAGGCATAAGACAACATAGTATAGTATGGCATAAAATTTCAAAAAACTTCATAGTATGGTAAGGCATAAAAACTGAAAAAAAAGTCATAGTATAGTAATGCATAAAAAGGTCCTTAAAAACATCATAGTATAGTAAGGCATAAGAATATTTTTAAAGAGTCATCCTATTGTAAGGCATAAAACACCATAGTATAGTAAGGCATAATATGTCATAGTATAGTTAAGCATAAAAATGTCATCTGATAGTATGGCATAAAAACACCAAAAGACATCATAGTATAGTGTCATAGAACAATCACACTTTCTACCTTTGTACTCTGTATGACCTAGCTTTATACAACCTATGGTGTGAATCTGTCCTTACATGTATGCTTTTTTTCTGGTACTGCCTGGTACAAACTAAGGAGTTGCTTCTCCTTGACATTGACCTTGACAGGTGTCTCTCTTTGACAGGTTGACATTTTTGATGGCACCCAGAATTGTTCACACAATCATCCTGACGATGCCTGCTTTACTTCTTTCTCTATAAAGTGCATGGACACTCTTTGTTCGACCTCAGTCTGCAATTACACTCTGTTGGGACTGCTGGCTGATCTTTTGCAAAGATGGTACTAAAAGAAACAGAGACAACTCGGTCATTTTGTCAACATTTTATTTTCAGATTTCCATCACAATAGTAAGGCATAAAAATGCCAAAAAAAATCATAGTATAGAAAGGCATAAAAATTTTAAAATACGTCAAAGTGTAGTATGGTATAAAAAGTCAAAAAAACATCATACTAGGCAAGGAAAAAAAAAACAAAGTATAGTAAGTCATAAAAATGCCAAAAAACGTCATAGTATATTTAAGGCATGAAAATGCCAAAAAACGTCACAGTATAGTATGGCATAAGACGCTAAAAAAACTTCATAGTATGGTAAGGCGTAAGACGACATAGTATAGTAAGGCATAAAAATGCCAAAAAACGTCATAGTATACTATGGCATAAAAAGTCATACCAATGTCATAGTATGGCAAGGAATCAAACAACATAGTATAGTAAGTCATAAAAATGCCAAAAAACGTTGTAGTATATAGTATGGCATATAAATTTCAAAAAACGTCATAGTATAGTGAGTCATAAAAAGTCATAAAAACATCATAGTATGGTAAGGCGTAAGACAATATAGTATTGTAAGGCATAAAACTGCCAAAAAACGTCATAGTATAATAAGGCATAAAAACATCATAAAACGTCATACTATAGTAAGAGATAAAATGTTGCTAAATGTCATAGTAATGTAAGGTATAAAATGTCATTATATAATAATGATTAACATCGTCATAAAATGTCATAGTATAGTAAGGCATAAAATGTCAAAAAACATCATAGTAATGTAAGACATAAAAATGTCATTTTATTCAGTTATATTTTCATGGGATTTTTCCGACAGGAATTCAACTCATACTTTGATATACTCACCATTTTATATTTACTCCTGCTAGCACCTTGACTGCTAGCCTGCAGAAGACAGAAAACAGGGTTACCTGGCCAGTTAACTTCAACTAACATAGTTATATAACATCAGTTGACATTCTTCTGGTGATGTTAGGTCCAACCGTGATACTCTATGATTTTAGCCTTCAGATAGTCCCCACCCTTTCAGTCAATCAAATGGTAACATGACTTAATTGGATGTCTTGGAGACATCACCTCTTGGAGGGCATACAAACAAGTTCACTCAAATATTGGTTGGGATAATTCTGTCCTCCCAAAATATTGGTAGGGACATGTCCCTACTGTCCATATGCAAACCTATGCCCTTGGGCTAACTGATAAATGGAGTAACCCTTTCAGCTGTACTCTTCAAAGTCATAATTTTAGATTCACTAATTTACATTTGAGTATTATTGCTATTACTGATATTGCTAATAATTACAAAAATAACCAATTTTGTATGTGGATAAAGCAGATATTTATAGTCAATATATGCAAGCTTGATAAAAGAAAAACATCACACAAATAACCAAACTGTGGAAAGTTTTTTTACACAGCACTTCCATTTATTCCACTACAAAAAGAGGCATTTCAAGAGCACCAGTAAAAGAACAGAGTCCAGTTCATCTCCGCCACAGACTGGACTGTTAGCCAAGCAAAGAAGAAAGAAAATAAGTCCTTTTTGTCCCAGAGAAAGATGTCAAACATCTCGCTGTCCATTTTCACATGCAGCAGAAATGCAACTGTACTGTAAAGCCTCTGCAGAAGCAAGACAATGCTGAGATCACATCAGGAGTCAATTTCAAAAACCTAGAAACAGCACATGACGGAAGAAAAGAAGCTTCTCTTATCCTCTGAGGCGAGAGAAGACAAAAGACTTTCTAAAAACTATTTAAGGTAGCTGAAAAACAAAATTCACAACACAATGGGCAATAATATAATAATACTTTTAAAAATATTTCAAAGGAAACATAAACTCTACCCAGAGGTGTGTGAGAGACCCAGTCAGGAAATATACTGTACACTCAGAGGTTTACCTGGCTTACTTGTTTTTTATAGAATACAGTAGGCCATACAATCATGAAATTGGGACCAAACTCAAATCTTTTATGTCAGTCCAGCATGCATCTCTATTTGAGCGGGACGTTGTACAGTAACAGCGGATCAGCTGTAACAGTAGTAGGATGTGACTTCTTGAGCAAATGAAGGAAGCTCAGCTTTTGTGGTTTGGAAAAACAGCATGAAAAACAGCTTGAGGCAGATTTCTGGAGTTAGTCATAAAATTTAGTACTGTAAGAAACTAAAAACTGAAACGAATAAACACCCTCCCCCCACCTTCAGACTGAAGAACCCTAATTCTTTAAATAATAGTCTGAGCAATGAAAATCTCAACACAGGAAATATCCCTTTACAATTCATTGCTTATTACACTAATAATAATAATATTGATTACCCCTTCCATGTACATTCAAGCATGAAAAGACCAGAGTGAGAAAAACGTTCAAGTGTCTAATGGTTTATTCTCAGTAGAACAGCCTACAAAGGTTTAAAGAGATTGTTCCATTCAGAAAAGATAAATAAAAATGTGATTGTTTCTCTCCAAAATGTGAAATTAAAAATGTTTTGTGGACCTTTTCTTGTCTTCAAGTGAAAATGCATAGCAGGATAAACATATCGTTCCTCCAGGGTTTGTTTGTTTCGTCACACATGGCTCTCATAAAACACCTGGCAGGGAGGGGTCTTATCGGCCGTCGGTTCAGGCGCAGCTTCTTCGGCACTCTGCTCCTCCTCCGCCTCAGGCTGCTCCTCATGGTGAAGAGGAGCTAGTGGTGGGGGTGAGGAGGGGGGAGGTGAGGAGGGTGTGTCCTCTGGCTGAGGTGGTGCTTCAATGCTGCAGCAACCTCCGACTGCGAGTGGCGGGTGGACAGACACCTGGATGGCGATATGCTGTGGCTGCTCCTGAACCGAGGAGTTGTCCGAGTCTGCGGCAGGGGATTCGCTGCGCTCCCTCTCCCTCTCCCGCCCTCGCTCTCTCTCCCTTTCCTGCAGGATGGTGAAGACATCTCTCCCCCCGATGGAAGCCACCCTGCCTGCAACCTCACGCCGTCCCTCAGGTGCTTGTCTGACAAAAGTGTGCCTCATCTCCTCCACCCCCACAACTTCCAGGATCTCCTCCATGAAAGTGCGGCAGTTCATGATGAGCGGTGGCAGCGGGATGCTGCGAGCGAGCTCCTCAATGTATCGCGCAAACTCCATGGTCTTGAACTGCGTCACCTTAGCCAGCTCCAGCGTCTTGGCGGAGGTGATGATGGGGATCCTCTTGGCGATCTCAAAGGCCTTTTGGAGCTTCTCGGCGCCTTCGGTGCGGAAGAATTCGTTAATGGCTTTCTCTGTCTTCTTTAGGTGGCTGCTCATCATGCAGAGGCGTGTGACGTTCAGGGCCATGATGATGGTGAAGGTAACCAGACACACCACCATGTAGTACACACCCATGTCACCGTTGGTGAAGACCACCCGCAGTGTCACTGTGCAGTTGGAGCTGCCGTGCACGTTGGATGCCATGCAGGTGTACTTTCCACGGTCTGCAAACTCAATGCTGGTGATGTTGAGGACGCCACTGTCCAGCAGCCACCACTTCCCACCTACAGAGGCAAACAGGCAGATGTTATGAAGCAAATATACAGCACATACCTGTAAGAACAAACAACCACAAATCTGGTTTATTACAACCTGGGTTTTACTGAGCAATTACTTCAACATAACTGATTGAACCAACAGCCAGCGCTATAAAAATTAAACCCAAACAGTTATTAACCATAATTTCCCTTTAAATACAACTGATAACCAGCTACTGTTTGGCAAGTCCTCAAAATCTGTCTGATCGAGCAGAACAAATACAACTTTCAGTTCAGTTTTTTTTTTTTTTTTTACTTGCTTTTAAAAGCATGATTATTCATCTATTCATCGCCCACCAAGTGACTCACTCTAAAGTCATAGTTTAAACCCTGAAAATCCTCTTAATGCATCTGTTTCTCTGCTAAATGACTCGACAGTAAACTCTCCTCTGCAGTGTTTCTGCAGCTGATGTTTGCTGCTTTCCAACAGGAACTTGTTTTATCAGATTTGCTTACTTTACATTGTTCTGACTTTTTTTAAGGAGCCTGGCAACTCAAGAACACATTGTTTTGGCAAACCCGTTTATAACTCAATTTAAAAAGTCCTTGAGGTAGCACTGTATACAGTGATCTCATGTCTAAGCCTCCATCTGTGCTGATCTCAATCTGTGGATCTGAAATGTAAAGCTATGTTACATTCAGTATCTGCCCTGCTAGTGAGTGATGTATATTTGATATCAGATAAATCAGTTGATCGGTTTTAAAGGGAACACTGAACATGGATTTCATCTGTGTTTGTGTCTCGAGTCTAGAGAACAGCAGTGACCTTTCTAATGCTTTCCTTATTGAAACAGGTGGCGCAGCTACATCTCACCAGGAAACACTGCTCTGTGTACTGAGGTTTGAGTCCCTAATCAAAACAAGAACCATCTATTTACATGCTGGACTGGGGTAGGATAAACAAGCATGAAAACATGTTTTAAAGATCCAGTTCACCCTTTTTACAAAACATACATTTATTTTCTCATCTCACAATTTTATCAGACTTTTATTTTTTAGGATTGGAATCAAACCTGGAAAAAAAAATTCAAACGTGATTCTGCATTTTAAGATACTTAAAGTTACAACATAAACATACTGTACATGTATTTGCATGTATTTTCTCACTGAGAGGCTAATGAGGCTAGCTATAAATATAGTTTTAGTCATAGCCAATGATTACATGAGCTGAGCACAAGGAAATCACATATCACCATATTGAGAGAATATCAACATTGTCCAACACAAAAGGTCAGAGAGTCTTTGACAGTACAAAGTGCCCACAAGGAAACAAACATTAAACAAGCACATATTAACTCTCAAACTCAGGCTGAGTCAGCAAAGTTATAGAGTAACACATCACTCCAGTGACAACAAGACTATCTGAAAAATGTTTTGGAAGAAAGTTTTAAATAAAATCTAAACTGGGCACAGATACATGGTCTAGTCACCAGTAACGCCTGTCAGTCAACACTTTTTTTTACCAGTGGTACCAGTAAAAAAAATCCTATAATGGTAGCTGTAATCGTGTGTTTAGAACAAAAAGTGAAATGAACTCTGTGCTTGGTCTTGAACTAGCGATTCACGGACGACTTCAAGGGCAGCATTTATCCACCAGAAGTTAAGTTTCAGTGAATTCAGCTGCAACTCCCCCTCAGTTACTGTTTCTACAGTGTGGGAGTACAGATGGAAATCACAGAAGGCGTCTCTAAATCTGTAGTCTGAAGTCTGGACGAGACCGCCCTCTATACTGCGAGCACCATCAACTTCCCACACTGGTATCCTCTGGAGGAGATGAATGAGCAGTCAGGAAAAGCAGCGTGGCTGACAACAGCGTCCTGCCCATCCGCCTTTTCATGTGAGAGCAAGGTTTCTAATTTTACCTCCACCACCGGATCATGTGATGCGATTGATGTACTGCCCAGTACTACAAGCAAGTTTGTAGGGAAAATAAAAAACACCCAGGAGCCTGAGTAATGGACCGACATCTGCAGGGGAAACCAGCGAGGGCAGATTAGTGACACTGCTCTTAAAGTGACCACTTTTTATCAGAGTGAACTGCTGTGGTGAAAGTCTCTCGCTCCCTAATTATATTCCTGTGTGTAACCCTGGGGAAAAGCTCTGTAATGGTACAGACGCTGTTCTGGGTTTGTGGGTCATAATAACAATGCTGCCTCTCCTCTCTTGGACAGCAGGTTTCAACAGGTCGGCTCAGGAGAAGCAGCAAAACAACAAACGACTCTTCCCTCGGCATTCCTTCTGAGGTGGATCGCAATATTCAAACAGACGAAGGAGGCTCGGCTTGAATGAAAATCATTAGTAAAACAAACAAACAAAAAAAAAAGACTGTCTAAATGACTTCCTAAATCTAACTGGGAAACGCCCGCTGTCACAGAAAGAAAATAATATATGCTGCAAGAAGAAGCGAGCAAAGATTGAGACAAATTTCCCGGAGGAACACAAAGCTGTCCCATCCACATGTTCAGAAGTCAAGTTTCACTTTGATTAAACATTCACAGACAACTGTCTGTGGCATATCAGAGTGGAAGCAGGAGTAAAATCAACACTGTACACAAAGTCTTCAGTTCCTGTCTTGTCTTTTCACTCTTCCTTTTTATTTGCCAAGAGCATTAACTTCCATTACTGTCTGACATCACAATGGCCTTGAATACACTCATTTATGAGCTGGAGGGTCAGCTCCTTTGTTCTTACTGATAGTAATCGTCCATTTTCTTGTGACAGTGCATCCAGATGGAAACTCTTTACGCTGGAACAGAAGATGGCATTTCAGGACCTGACTTCACATCAGTTAATAAGCTCTGATAGCTGCATTCACAATGTCGATCACAGATTATCATCATATTGAGTTGGCACAGTGGCCTTGAAGAAACTCAGACAGAAACTGAGCTGATGCAGCTGCTTTTTTTCTGTCTCTTCAACAATTATAACGATTACTTTTCGTTCAAAAACAGACGGATGACACTTCCTGTGGTTGCTTTTGGTTCCCACTTTAATTGAGGGGAACCCCCAACCCATAGTGTATGAAGTGCATTAAACACCTGTGACTATTGTTTTCTATGTAAGCCCACACACCAGTCGTGTCTTTGTGTGCATCAAAGCATCAGGACTCTACGTTGTCCTATTTCCCAGTGTCTAAACACGTAAAAGCAGCTTTTTTTTTTACATTTGCTCCTCAGATCAAAACATCCTGGCACCGGTACACTACTACTTCTGTCTATGTGGTATATCAGCTGGTGTGAGTATCATCTGTACATTACCTGATGTTATTTCATCCATAAACAGTTTCTCAATCAATTTTACATCAGATTTTACTGTATCACAATATATCCAAACATATCCTCTATTTTAGTGAGAGCTGTTTACACTAAATTGTGTTTTTTCATGCCTTCAAGAGCGGGTAAGATGGCTGCATGGCTATTTTTATATAGTGTACAGACGTCTTAAAGCTGCTAACTGTTGATCTTTTTAATTACAGTATGTGGACCATGTTGATCCCCACTGAGCTGGCCGAGTGGAATTTTTTAGAATTAGAGGGGCTTTGATAGGCACTATAATAAAATCAGCAGGTGTATTTCTAGCCTGGTTATTCACTGGTTCTTATATAGAGTTGGGCCACCTCCAATAACACTGTAAACATTGTGTATGCTTTTCTGAAATAAAACATCAGCCTCCAGAGAAAAAGAGCAGAGTTGCAGTTTCACAGACCAAGTCCCATATATTTGATGAGTCTGGTCATTAGGTCTTCACTCACTAAAAACAAGGATGTGGGTGGCTAACCACCTCTCTTGCATAATCTCCTGGAAGAAACCCTGTAGTATGCATGATAGTGTGGAAGTAATGACTACTGACTGACTTGTTCAAAATAAGAAACTATTCTAAATGTCCTGTTGTTAACTTTCAGAGGCCTTGTCCATAGTATACAACAAACCTGACACCTTTTCTTCTACTGAAATTATAATTAAATGACTGGCAATGCTGGTGTCAAAGAGAACAGGAAACCAGGTTTAAAGTAACAACACAATCTGACTCACCAGTTGTCTCCGTGTCCAGACGGTCGCCATGGGAGTTGAACCACTGAACTCTGGGGAACGGGTCTCCGGTGACATTGCAATCAATCAGCGCACAGCTCCCCTCCCGGGCAATTATCTGGCTCACTTTTGTGAACACAACTGGGACAAATCCGTCGTCTGTCACATTGCCGGTTTGTGTATGGTTTCCATCCGTGTCCAGCGATAAGGCCCCGGCGGTGTGATAGGTGATAAGGGACACCAGGACCACAAACACGTATCCGACGGTCCAGTGCATTTTCTCTGAATGTTGGTGAGGGGGAAGAGGCTCTGTCATTCCTCCTGGGTGTCCATCCTGCACACTGGCTATCTCTTGATAGTAGAAGGCAATTTGGTATTCAGCTCTGCGACTTGAAACATCTCACTGAAAACAAGAAAGTAATTGCCATTTATTAATCAGACAGCACAGGACAAAACAACATGTACCTGTTCAGGCCTTGATGCTCGGCAGCTGGAATAAACTGATAAGGACGCTGCTCTTGTAACACAGGACTGCAACTAACAATTATTTTATATATTAATGGTATGGCCTATAAAACATCTCAAAAAAAAAAAAAAAAAAGCCAGTATTAGCCAAAGCCAAAAGTAACATCTTCAAATTACTTGTTTTGGCCAACCAAGAGCCTAAAACATAAATATATTCAATTTACAGTGATATAAGACAAAGAAAACCAGCAAATTTCTGTTGATTGACAAATTATTAATGAACTAATCATTTCATCTCTTAGTAATTAACAATCGATTAACCAGAATTTCTTTCTTGGCTAATTAAATTTCAATGATGATAACTAGCTATTTAATGTTGTAGTTATTGTTTATCATGAAAAAAATCCCAAGAGGTTGCACCTTCATATCTACTTAAAGATCCTTGCTATTCCTTGTTTTGTATCATAAAATTTCAAATACCATACTATCTGATTACTGACGGTCTTCTACTGACATCCTATGATGTTAGTCTGTAATTGATTATTAATCGTTTAATCAAATAAAATAAACAACATAAGAGGTTAAAGTCTTGCCCACATGCAGCATGAGTAATGGTGTGGTCTCACTAACTCACTGATCATATCTACATTCATTCAGTTACCTAACAGCACAAAACACCAGCATTTAGTCTGGGCTTTCATCCAGTCTAATCTAGCTAATATGTGTTCACTGCTAAAGCCAGTTACATCATATGAAAAATAAAAACATAGGCATCTATAACTTGCAATGACGTAAAAAGAGATCGACTGTAACATTAAAAATCACACAAGTAGCTTTCTCATCTGTGTTAACAGCACCAACTGGCTTGATTAATACGAAAACAAAGCCACATTACAACATAACGGAGCTGTGTGTGGGCTCCGTCTATTTTCTAGCTCACTTCGTTGCCAGACACATAGCCAACGAAGATGACATCGTTAGCTACCTCATGCAAGCCCGATAAAAACAAACTCACAATAATATGGATTGTCAATTGTAATTTAATTATATACGGGGCTGTTACGGCGAATTCGTCGCCTTGAACTGTGCCGTTTAAACGCAACACAAAACAAAGGCGTGGGACCCGGCTATGTGCTGGACGACAGTCGGTTTTTATATCACGGGACCCTTCCAGAACTGTGCCACTGCTGTTTACAAAATGTAGTAAGACAGTCTCTTTAGCTAACATTTAATGGACGATTTATGTAGCTGCCGTTTACAGTAGCAGCAGCAATTGATGACGAAAAAGCGATAAAAGGCTCTGAATTCATACCGACAAACGCGATAACGTTACCTCCTCGGAGCGCGAGCACAGCGGTCCAAGCACACGGCCAACTCAGTGTCGACGCTAGCGGCTAAATGTTGATAAAAAAAACAAACGAAATTCTTCCAATTAAACACTATTTCCTTACTTACATCATGGTGTGTCGCCGGTCAAACGCGGATGTTTGATGGGAAGCACCAGAGTCGATGTTTTGTCGCTTATTTCTCCGGCATCTCGATTCTCCTCCCACCGCTGGTCGTCCGCTATAAGCAACCAGCAACTAGTTTCTCTATGCTTCAGGACGCGCTGGGTGGCAACATTGCCGAGGTGCTTGGGTTGCATTGCTTGGATAGGTTAGGCACTGAGGTGAATAAATTGCTATTTAGACAATGATTTAGAGTAATAAAACATTTTAATGATGAGTTTTTATCACTGTTCCATTAGTGTAAACACTAGTTCCAAAGTGGGTCAATGTATGGGGGTCCACAGGTCTTCTGAGGACATTTCTAGAGCAAATCAATTTCATTTCTAAATGGGTGACATATTATATGGGTCATGAGTATGACTGTTGTAGTCACAGTCTTCCATATTGGCTATTACTTCTTCACCCAGTGATGGAGAGTGAGTACATTTACTCATGAACTGTAATTAAGTACAAGTTGAGCTAGGCTTATTTTGTACTACTTTATACTTTACTACATTTCAGAAGGAAATATTGTTCTTTTTTTTTTTTACTACACTACATTTATCTGGCAGATAAAACAAGCAGTTAAGACATATAACAATCTTATAAAAAACAAGGCATTGTAGAAGATAAAACCTGTGGTTTCCAATCATTTGACTTGTAACCCCTTTAATCTTCTCAGATGATTTCATTTAAACTGTTCAAGGCCCAAATTGGTGAAAATGTTTTTCACATCATCTGTATTTCTGACAGGTAAATGCACTGTGGTCAAAACCCATTGCTGCCTTGCATTTACTTTGTTATCAATTAAAGCTAAAAGGTTAGGACAGTCAAAGCAGACAAAAACAACAACAATCAGGGTAAGGGGCGTAGAAAGCAGCAGGACACAGAAACAACAAATTTCCTTTTGGAACAATTAAGCAATATGGATTTAAAAAAAACGTTTCCTGGGCGAAAATAAAGACAGAACAAAAGGCCGTACGGGCTGTTTGTTTGTGAGCCAGAGTTGATAACTGACTGACCTTGAGGCCACAGTAAAAGTCTGAAATCGACAGTCTGCACCAGGTGTCAATAACTGAGTCAATAATGCTCCATCTACGTATAGAAGCTATGGATATTTCAGGAAATGTGTGTGTGACATTGCTTTAGTTTATGTGATAGTCACCAAAGTCTATGTTTGTTTTCATAATGGAGTAAGATTATCCCAAAGTACAGTTTAGAAGTTAAGGTATATGCTTTTCATGTTAATTTTAATAACATTTAGAGGGAATTTTTTCTTCCATTGTTTTCTTCTTTTCTACCCAAGATGCTTACGAAGATTTTACAGCTAATAGCTTACATTTACGCAGGCAAAGTTTTAAATCCAGGGTTCAGGATGCATATTTTTAATGTAGTATTTTTCCATAGTGGTATTTCAGCCTTTACCTGAGGATTTTTAGCTCTAACACTGCAGCCAGAGGAGTGTAAATAAGTGTTGCAAAAGCCTGATTTCTAAGCCGCCCCTCTGATCTTCTTAACCTTCACAGATGAATGTTTCAGTTGCACACAAACACTTCTGAGATCTCAGACACACTGTTCACACAGTGCTACATACGAGGTGTGGCTATTCAATAATGAGGCTAATGCTGGTTTGACTTCATTAGCCCGGTCTCGTGTTAACACAGCGGGGAGAAAGTCTGTACAAAGGAGAAGGAAACAGTTTCCACCAACAGACAGGCTCTGTTGTTGTCAGCAAGTACTGTTGTGTGACTGCTAACCATGCAGGTTTAAAAAAAGATGAAGACAATCTGGTGGAAAAGAAAATGTTGTTTTTTCTTACTTGAACCTGATTTTTCAAAAGTCAGCAGGAAACAAAGAGATGGCACCAGCTGAATGTTTACTTCAGTCATAAGTAAAGCTGTAAAGTTAACATGAGGCCACAGGTAAAAAGACCACTACAATGTTAATCTACAGTGTTAATCCTCTGTGACCAGTAATAGGAGCTAAAATCCTTTTTTGTGCCCCGATTGCGTAAATCTTGAGAGCTTTAGTTTTGCAACAAGATTTTGGTTTGGGACAACCTTCAAATCAATTGGGCTTTTTAACATAAATTAGCAGATTAAACACAGACCATGGAGAGAGATTTAGATGGTAATGTGACATTTTGATTCTCAAAGCTGTACCTGCAGAAAACAAGAACTCTACAAAAGCATGAAACCATTTCCTCACAAGTTTATTGAGAAACCGGCATGGTTTCTGAATGTTGGTGGTAGATGGGTTTTTCTATTTTTGGGTGTTGAACTAAACTCTGGCAACACTCTTGTTTTAATCTCACAGTAAAGTTGTTTTTGACACTACAAGTGTTGCAACACCCCAGCTCAAAGATTAATTCGTCCTGCCAAGCGCAGGAGTTCAAGTTGACTGTCAGTGAACCTCTGCACCTACTTTTTGAAATAACTCCTCTCTAAAACATGCCCATGAAACCTCGCTGCATCGCCTGCCTTAACTATAACATTATCACACTTTAACAGAACATGTAAGTTAATGCTCAAACTTCTGAGATGTGTTGTCTCATAGAGCCAAAATGACACCTGACATACTATCAACATTCAACTAATACAGGAAACAGTGATATCTAGTGATGTCACTGTTGTGTCCAAATGATAAAAGTTATGTAGTTTAACGTAAAAAAGGTGCTAACGGAGTGTGAAATATATTTTTGTTTTATGTATTTGAATTATTGAAAACCAGGCCACTTTATTTGTTTCTGTATCCTCCAGCAAGTTTTCCCCATCTATGAAATCCATGCACCAGGCCGACTGCAATTTAAGATGTATCTTACAGAGGAAATATTTCATCAGGAGTCATCGTCTTTGAAGTTTTGAGGTTTTAGTGGAGCAGAAACATGTAGACTCACAAGACAAAATACAGAATAATTATAAGCTATTATTTATTTTTGTACATGGAAAAGTTAAAAACAACATCACTGTGTAGTGCAACGATGGAGCAACAAATTATGAGACTACTTCTTTTGTCATTGCTCCAAAGGGTTTTCAATGATAAGCCCCATGTTGAATAGACATGCATTGAAAACATTTTTCTAAACTTTTGACTGTGGTTTACATATAGTCAGAGGTAACAAAATATTAAAATATATTTAAACTCAATAATATATTTCAATATAAAAGCCCTCGACAATAAGTTAGAAAAAATACATCATCTGTCAGGGAAAAATAAACTTCTCATCACAAAGCGTCTTTGATGAGTGAGGAGAGTCGTTTGAAAGCCTGTTGAAAGAAATGTGAGAGATTAGAGTCAGTTATCGAGCGTGTGCATGTGTGTGTGCATGTGTGTGTGTGTGTGTGTGTTTACATGTGTGTACCTCATCAATCTGTGCTGGTGTGGAAAGAGAAAAGGCCGCTCTGACGTAGGGACAGGGGTCACTACTGTTGATCATGAAGACGCCTCCGGGAACCAGCAGCACCTTTAACACACACACACACACACACACACACACACACACACACACACACACACACACACACACACACACACACACACACACACACACACACACACACACACACACACAGGGCTCGTGTTACTTGATATTTTTATTACTCCCCCCCCTACAGTTTTTACACAGTTGATCTTTTCACGTAACGAAGGCCTTGAGAACAGAACTGGTCTTTGTTTTTTATCAGTGGTTGTTATGCGAACACTAAGTGGAGTGTGTCTTGTCCTAATGTAAAGCCAGACAGGTCATCAATTTTCATTCTCAGGACACAAATGAACAACAACTTGATCAAGAGGGTGAAATATTCGTTTTTAAAGTCACTATTCCCAGCCAAGAAATAGTCCCTCATATAAACCACAAGTTGCTGTTTTTACATTTATTTTTTTGTACAGGTTAAACAAATGAAATAAAATGAGAGTGACCTTTAGATTTGCTGGTTGTTATCATCAGAGCCAGGCTAGCTGTTTCCACTCTTTATGCTAAGCTAAGATAACTAGCTGAATATTAAACCACCAGACATGAAAGCGGCATCAAACCTCTAATCTAACTTAAAGTAAATAACAGTATTTTCCAAAACTATTTCTTTCGCATGTTTCAGACATTCAGCTACTTGCTTGTGAGATCATGAGAAAAGATAAAACACAAACAGGATACTCTTTGTTTATTCATTTCAGATTCAAAGTGCTGTTATTCCTCCTCTGTTAGCACCAAGGATAAACTGGAGAAAGTCTTTGCTTTGTTCTGTGTGGAGGTTTTAAATAACCAGGATTCTGAGCAGAGAAGTCCACTGTGCAGAGACCTTGGAAAAGCTTGATTGTACCCACTCTTGTTTTTATATGGCTAATCAGCTATTCGCTAGCAGGGATTTACAGAGGCTCAGTGTGTATGTGTGTGTGTGTGTGTTTGTGTAGGAGGGGAAACACTCAGTTGCTAAACCCACTCACAGTGTGCACAATGCCTGCTTTACATGCACCATCCTTCACTCCTCCTTTACTCCTTCACAAAACCTGCCTCACCCCTGGTGCATAACATCTGCTCGCAAACAGTGCAACACAAGGGACACAGGGAGAGGCAAAAGCACGCAGATGCATTCTGGGTAGCTGTTATTTGCATGCTAGAGTGACGCGGGTATGTGTTAACTTGAAATGGACATGTGTAGGTTTTGCGTGTGTGTTGTGTTTGTGAGTTCTGACCTCCTTCTCCAACGCCTTCTCCATAATCAGCTGTTGAGTATCAGCGATGGCCTTTAGCTTGATCCACAGGAACATGCCTGCTGATGGGCTGTGCCACTCTGCTACATCTACACACACACACACACACACACACACACACACACACACACACACACAAAGTAGGGAAAAAAGAAAAGGCTGGGTGTGTGCTTTCTGACTCAGCCAGCAGTTTTTCCCTATGTGGTCCGTTTTTTTGTCGCTGCAGTGAATTCGTTTCTGTGCAGCTTCTCTAACAATTCTTCTCCATTTAACCGACGCTTGACAAAACATACGGCCTCATAAGTAGTTTACACCTTCACAAATGTGGTGCTTGGTGTTACAAATGGCATGAATGCGCCTGCCAATGTTGTTTAACATGCAGTTCCATAAATGACCTCTAGGCAGTGGCTCCAAGAAAACAAGCTGTTTCCCAAACTCATACCACATAATACTTTTTAGCAAGTTTTGAGTATTTATTGTGTTCACCCCGGAAACCTGACAAAAAAACAGTCTGTGTGGATATGAAGACTAAAAAACTCTGTTGATGGACACTATTCTCCCACAATGCAATACACACAGGAAATGGTGGAGCGGCTCACAGCTGGAATATATTAAAACTAATGGTGGATGGTGGTAAAACTTTTCCAGGAACAGATCAACAAACTTTTTGCTGGGTCTTTGCTCCATGTAACACATATAATGTGTTTTGGTATAAAATGGTAAGGGTGATTGACCTCCTATATAATAAATGCAAAAACAGTAAACTATAGTATGGAGAATATACCATACACAATAAGTACACAGCTTCAGACTGTACTTAACTGACTCATAAAAATCTTCACCATAAATCTATGACAGTATTTTCTTTCACGTGTTATGGTACGGAAAGCTAGTTTCACTTCTTCTTATGCATTTCTATACACAGTAATTTTCCTTTCCCTTTAAAACCTTCAAGGCATCACAGCAAACAGCATTATAATAACTCAGAGTCAACTTAAGTTTAACAAAGACACTGTTATTGCAAATTCCTCTTATGTAGTTTATTTGAGCTTTCAGCCACATGTCATGACTTTTTTAAATTATTTACTGTATAACCACTTGAGTGTCAACATCTCACTTCCAGCAACCTAGCGACCTAGCAACAGCAAACGCTACAGCCAGACACTTCTACTGAATAGACAGCTGAGAGAAACCTCTTTTATGCATTATGTTAGATTTGGCTTAATAAAAAATAATATAAACCATGTTCTTGTGAAGAAACCAAAGTTATGTTTATATTCAGTCTAAATAAGTGTATCTTCCATGCCTGGCAAACTGGCTGACTGCATTTTCTCCCTCATGCAACATTTGCAAAGCAAATCTTTTAAATATTCTAAACCTGTTTTGATTACAGCCACGTGTACGAGCTGCCAGTCTTCTTAGCCGTCTGTCATGCTGCTACATTTCGTAGCAAATTACCGCCACTAATGGTCAATAAGTGGAACAGCATGAAACAGGTAGTAGTTTGAGTGTTTATATCGCCTCACGAGATACAAACATAACATTAAAATGCTGCTCTACAGTTCTACTAGAGCTTTAAACCAAAAACAGCTCCTGGTGGGGGTGGATTTGTTTGATTGACAGATTTATACATGTCTGGCACGCACAGACATGGTGGTGGCGGCCATCTGCTCCACCCACATTAGCTCCCCACCCAGGAATCAAATTTGGGTTCATCTAGTTATGAATTTCTGTTTTGATGCTGTTAGTTTATAGTAAATCCAACTGAAAAGGCTACAACATGACCATTTATAAGTTTATAGGTAATGCTTTGTTTTTCTATTTCATGTCCACAAACCTTTGAGCCACTTGTCTGCAGAGCTGATCATGGCATCACGTTGTTTCCTGTAAAACTCAATCACCCTGTGAGAGGAAAGAAAAACAAAACTGTTTCATGCTTCGCTGCAGGAGCGGCTGTATTATTTAACTGGTACTGTAGCTATAACAGATGAGGTAATTCTTAACCAGTCAAACCTGTCATGCAGAGCAGATGTGTCTGTACAGCGACACTGTTGGAAGTGACGTACCTGTCTATGTGCTGGAGGAAACCCTCTTGTCCCCAGCTGTGCAACAACTGAGACACCATGAGCTGAGAGGAAGCAGGAGACGGGTTATATAATGTGAGGACTGGTACAGATTCAAACAAGACCTACGAGGAACCATATTCTCTTATTGTGGAACGGCTCTACAGCAGATGTTCCACCTTCACATCTGTATTTTTATTACAGTATTACAGTTCCTATACTATCTAGAACAACCGTGCAGTGGGAGTATGACACACCTTCTTCCTTTCACCACAGACAAAATAGATGTATACCAACATGCATGCATTTACTGAGTTACTGACAAGATTTCAGTCCAGATTAGATGAAAAAGCAGAGGCGGGGATTGAATCAGAGGATGGTGGCAGATATCTTGCAGCTCCTAATTAATCCTTTTCTTTCTTATTAAAACCTCCTCTGCAGCTGCTGCTAATCCAGACACACCACAGCGTCTTATTTTACTTGATTTGGCTTCAGCTGCAGTGTAACAACACACCCCTTGTTACTGGTGAGTTTCCGATTGTGTTGGTGTAAATGTGGCGTGCCTGAGGGGTGGGAACAGACACTGGCAGACTATACAAATGACTCTGCTCGAAAATATGCTTCATCGCTGGCACTCTGTGTACGTTGACTGCATAACTGCTCCGTGCTTACTGCTGCACGGAGGTCTGCTTGGTTCACTGCTGGCAATGTCGACAGCATTTTCAAATTTTCTCCTTTAGCCCGTTTAGATGGCACCAAGATGGAGGCTGCCACACAGAATGAACATCAAACACCAAGAGAAAGCAGGAAGCAGTTTGCAAGTAAACCAGACGCGCAGAATATTCAGTGATAGGGAAAAGAGCAGGGTGTGGTGATGTAAAATGAAGTTTTTATTCACCTGTGTGAAGGTACTAGTGTGCATCGTTGAGGCCTGGATGTGCAGCACCACCCGGTCCACCAGCGGTTTGGGACCGGTCACAAAACCTATCCTCAGCCTGAAGCACAAAAAAGAAAATTTAAAAAAAGGCAAAAGGCAGACAAGAAGTCAGAGACATAAAGGTGCTGGTGCAGTTATACATAAAACATCTCCCACACAGAATCCTGTGCAATAGTTAACTTGACATTACTTGAAATATTAAACCAACAACCTTGAAAATGGCATGTAGACAAATATTCACTTTTTATGTAGGCTCTGACTTTGTCGTTGTGTGTTCTTAATCTGTTTGTACTGATGTTGCCTGGCCTTTCATGGAAAAGGTTCTTCATTTCAAAGCAACAAACCAACAAGGTTAAATTCATAAACACAGATTCCAACTCTGAAAGTACATTTGTCTGAAAAACTTTCACTTTAAACATTTTTAGGATTTTTATGACTTAAATCTGGTAAAAATCTGAGTCTGATTGTGCAGCTTAATGTGGTTAATGATGTAAATGAAAGGACATGTCTGTAATATTATGTCTATGATACAGTATCGACTAAAAATCTTTTTAACATGCCAAGTAGTTACAACATTTAACAATTCACAATCAATGAATCTGAAAGTTTTATTTTACTGTTTGATCTATAAAATATATGCATATGTGACAGATTACATGAATACTAACAAGTTAAATAAAGCGATTATAGACAGGGGTGTCCAATTATAATGTATTTGGCCATGAAAGATTTCCTCTTTCCTACGAACACACTCATCAGCTGTATCCTGCACAAGCAACCATCAGATATGAGCAGTGGGGAATTACACAAGCAAATTAAACTGTAAGACTGACTGGAAAAACACACCCTGCTCACATGTCAAGTCCTGACTTTTTACAGGAAAATCTCTGCTACAGCAGAGCCAATAAAATCTTAAATGGTAACAGCAGAGCTTCACATGCACTGGTGTTAAGGAAAAACAACCACCCCTCCACACACACACATTCATACACACAGATTGAGACGCTCACCCTGAAGACAAGATCTTAGAGAAAGAGTCGGTCCTGATGATCCTCCCGTCAACGTCCATGGAGAGAAACGTGGGGGCCCACGGCTGCCAAATACAGAAACACAACATGAATCACACCAGACTGTGGCCTCGATTCATAATAATCCAAGTGAATGTGTTAAGATAAGACCATAAAGTCACAGTAAAGGAGACAACTCAACTATTTTACCTTTTTAAATATGACATAATGTGAACATTCATTTTGACAAACCGGGGAGGTGATTGAACTTTTTGTACCTTGTCAAACTGCAGGAAATAGTACGGGTCGTCCTCGATGATGAGCATGTCGTACTGCCTGGCCAGCTATTAAAAAGAGCGGAGGACGTTAATAGAGAAAACGACAGAATAAATCTGCAGGGAAATCAGCTTCACAACAAGCTCTAATTAGAAGAGTCAGCGCTTCACTGACTGCTTTGCATAAATCTGACTGAAGAGGGATTCAGAGAGATTTTTAAAATACAGCTTCATCTGCAGAGCGTGCCCGCAGTCATCTTTGACTCTGAATGAACTCAGAGATTTGTTTTGTGACTCTGCAGGAGAGACAAACCTCGTACACTTCTTTCTTTCTCTGAACCGTCATGGAGGCACCGGTGGGGTTCCCTCCGTTGGGGATGGTGTAGAGGATTTTGGGGGCAGTGCTGCCAGGCGTGTGCACCTCTGAGGGGTCCCACTGAGATAAGACCTTCTTCAGGGCCGCAGGTATCATGCCGTGTTGATCGCTAGGAACGTTGATTAAGTTGCAACCGAGCGGCTGAAGCTACAGAGTAAAAGGAGTAAGTTGAAAGGTTACTTCACCTTGAGTTACTGTATGTTTGTGTAGTTAAAATATCATTATGAAATAAAGTTCCTCTCACCGCTGCCAGCGTGCCTGAATACGTGGGTGCATCAAGCAGAACGTTGTCTCCAGGGTTGACCAACATCTCAAACACCTAAAACCGACAAAACAGTGAACACACAAGACCCAGACTGTAAGTGGCTGCAACTGTATGTAGCAGGTCTCGAAAAAAATCTGATTTCCAGGAACAATTTTAAGTCAACATTGAAGTTAATTGGGTTTAAAACATAAATTGTTTGTAAACTAAAACTGGGCTTTCACATTTGATGGAAATGACTATGAACAGGGAAATTACTATAAAGATTTGTTGAGATCCTTAATTTTTTATATACATCCTTTGTCAAATAGCTATTCACAGACAAAGAAATATAGAGACTCATTTGGGAGTGGTAGCAACAATCACAGATTTTGGACTCAGTTGAAATTCATATCTATTACCAATTCTCATAAAATTAGGGAAAGTCATTAAGTATAAGGTGATACAACATATAAACAAGATGTTTTTTGAACAGAAAATTGCTGACACCAACGTCTTTGTGTGATCCTTTGCTTTTTCCTCTGCTCCTCGAACAACAGCGTGAGTGAAAATAAACATTAGCACTGCAGCTGCCGGGGTCAGTACCTTACAGAGCCCCTCCTGGCTCCCCGTCGTCACACACATGTCCATCTGGCCGTTCTCAGGGGTGTAGCTGGCGGTCGGTGGACTGTGCAGGTTCTTCTGCAGGTTTTTCATCCACGTCAGCAGCTCAGGGATTCTATGTAGGGATGGAAACTTTTTAAAGACTTAGAGCACAATAAAGTGCACCCTGTAATAATCAATGGCATTTAGAGACACAGAAGAGCTTTACACTTCAATTAACATAAAGGAGCAAGGTGTAGGTGAAGGATGCTCTGTATGGATTTGATGTCTAGACTTGTCCTCGGTGCATTAACCTATATCTGTTATCACTGATGGTGAATGAGTCACTTGAGGCTGTGAAGTTTACAGAGGTTGTCATAAAAACATAAAGGTTGCTGCAGAATGATAACCTCCACGCTCTGCTCTACAGATGTTATTCTGAGGTGGCTTTACGTAAAGATAAGATGCACATTTAAAGTCTTTAACGTGCAGATGCTCCAGCTATTGGCGAAATTGGCAAAAAACAATCTGTTGGTTTGAGTGCAGCTACATTTTAATGTCTCTCTTCAAGTTCTGGAAAATCTCATGAACAAGTGACTGATGCCACAAAACATGGATTCCTGATCCTGATCTCTCACCCATTCGAGGCAGAGTACTGCAGAGCCCTCTTCATCGCAGCTTCATCGAAGGTGACTGTTTGTCCATTCTTCACCGTGATGGACGCTGACTGGAAGGGGAAGGTGTTGGGGTTCGGCGCCCCTCCGGCCAGAGAGATTAGAGACGGAGGCGACCGCTGCTGCAGCTCGGCTTCAGACGGGTGGAGACGGAGAAGATGAGGATTGACTTATAATGAGGTTGCAGCTGAAACGCTAATATCCCAGTTTATTGATCTTACTACAGAAATCTACATTAAAACTTATAATCTACACCATCAATAAAGATGTCATGACTTTAGGAAATTTAGGGAAAATAATTGTTAATGAATTGTTCAGTTTCCAAACCGGTGAACATTTGTATCAATATAACTTTGCAGGTAAAAAGGCTTTAGAGTCCAACTGATACTGGATTTCTGAGATCTCTTTCGAGTTATTTCATAATAAAAAACAAACATTAAAAACACAGCATTTAAAAGTAAAAAACAACCAACTCAAATATATATATTTTAAAGCTAATGCACTGCAGTTTCTTGTAACTTGTCATTACTTAAGTGTCTGTGATAAATTAAATATTGGAATAAAGAAGTTTAGAGTATCTACTAGACATTTAGGCTACAGGGGCAGAATTTGATTGTTTTCAGGAATTTCTTTTTCCCATTTTATATTAATTGTGTTGTAGCAGCATTTCAGTGAAGGTATGTCTGTGTATGGCAGGTTTAGTACAGGTCACTCTGTCAAGTCAGACAGAATCCAGCAAAGTGGTTGCAGCCCCATCTCTGATTTTGCTCAGAGTTTATCAATAAAATGTCTATATGTATATACATATATATATATATATAAATGTCTACACTAAAATACTGAAAATAACAAAAAGTTTACTGTTGCGTGAAAGAAGAAAAGAAGCAATTATCAAATAACCAACAGCAAGCCTGGGGCCACATATTTCTCCTGCATAGAGAGACTGTACAGACTGTACCGTGAGAGGGAGGAATGGGACCCAGCGGCTCAACATGTTCACCGGATACCGCAACTTTGTCTGTCTCTTATGCAACACCACTCATTTTATAAAAGCATAGCAGTGATGGAACTTGTTATGAAAGGCCGACTACAGAAGGAAAACTTACTCAGCATCCTGATGGGTGAAGGCTTTCTGGCTGCACTAACAGCTGTCAGAAACCGAGCGTAATTCATGATTCCTGCACAAATGATAAAAATCAGAAATATTAGTTTCCCCTCGCATTAAAAATCACTTTGTTTATTCATCCATTCAGTCTCAACCTGTTGCCGAGCCTCACAGTGAAGCATATGGTCTGAGTTTGTGTCGTCCATTTTACATTTGATACATTACACATGGACTAAAGTGTGACTAAAAGCAAAACAACAGAAAAGTCATTCTTAATTTCGCCATGCTGGCTTGTCTTGCACAACAGAAATCACTACTGTACGTTAATCAGGCGAGTAGCGTAACGTTAGACCTAATGTAAATAAACACTAAACACACACAAGCAGGGGTTTGGTTTACACTCTACGGGACACCACCGTGAACGTAAATTATACCGACTATATGTGATACATTAAACGGTAGTTACGGCATTAACTTGACCACGTTCAGCTGTGCAACTGACCTTGCGTAGCTCAGTGCGACCGCCCCGGGGGCTTCTGGTTAATGTATTCCTTGATAAATGTCTGTGAATAATGGTCGGCTGCGGTGTCCGTTGAGCAAACTACACTACCCATACTGTAAAACAAAAATTACAGCTTTACGAAACGACTTATCTTAAGTTCTTTTGATAGTTTATTGTTTGGGTCGGTATCATAAATCTACTAAGATTATTCATAAAGGAAATGACTGTAAATCCTTACTGGTAAGAGGTCTGGTGTGACTGTTGTCGAGTTGTTGTTGTTGTTTTTCTCCGCTAGAGGGCGATAAACCGTATCCACAGGCGGAGAATGACCGAAAATCGACGAATTAGACGAACTTCCGTGTTGTTAGCTTAGCTGAGCTGTGCTAACTACGTATGACAAACTTTGTAGCTTTATTGTAAGTAATTACCGTCAAAAATTCTCGAGGTTTGCAGTCTGTGCCACGTTTTTCCTCTCAAATTGGTCATTTTGCGATGGGCTTTTTAACGTTAGCTGTAGGCGATGAATGTATGCTAGCAATTGAGAGTGGTATCTCGGCTAAATAAGGTAAAGTAAAAAGCTGACGACTTCTTTAAGTTAGGCTTTTACAATTAACTGAATAAATACATGAAATACGCTGAAAGGAAAATACGCTCTCGTGTCTTAGCTAACGGAGAAACACGCTCTACGTGCATTCAAATAATTGCAACGGTTGCTGTCTGCATTCATGTTGCATTGAGTTGAAAGGGACCAGGTGTGTTTCTGTCTGTTAAGCAGTTCAGAGTTGTGAGGTTAGTTTCCTAGATAACTTTGAGACCTTAGCTGGCATGTAGAGCTGTAGAGCTGCAGACTGGCTGTTTTTTCCTTGGTGTTAACATTCCTGTCGTCGTTTCAATGGGGAAAAGAAAAGACATGATTCACCCCAGGTTTCTCGGTGAGTATGCAAGATTATTGACATTGACTTGTACATTTCGATAGCCATGGTTGTATTTTCCCTGTGCTGAAATATCCTCTTAATTATCAGTTTACTAGATACACCTAATATAATATTTAGTTAACCCTTATTGATATAAATGAGGAAAAACTGATGACCTAAGAGTTATATCAACATCTCTCTTAAACAATTTCAACAAAAAACTGAACATTATAACTTTAATGAAAGCAGGATTTATTGCAGCGGTTTATAGTTTGAGGTTTGACGGACATAATACACTGGCAACTAATTATACAACTGAATTGTCTTAGGGATATAGCTGGAAATGGTAAATTTAGATTGCACAGTTAATTAGAGTAAAGAAATGCTTCAAATTTGAGACATATTTTAAACAGTTCTTACATGCTTATAATACCTATGTTTTCCATCTTGTCCTCTGCAGGTGAAGGCAGCTCTAGCCTGCACAGCGTTCACAAGCGGAAACACAAAAAACACAAGAAGCACAAGAGGAAGCATCACAGCTTCACTGAGGCCCCGGAGCCCGAGCCTGTCGTGGTTCCTCGGCCTCCTCCACAGCTCCGACTCAAGATCAAACTGGGAGGACAGACGCTGGGGACCAAGAGGTGAGCTGTGATGATGAAGATGAAGGTGGCCTCAGCTGTGTCAGTGCTCATTTGTCAGTTTGACCAGTACACAATCATTTCATGGTCTGTTTTCCTGTTGTCTCTACCAGTGTTCCCACCTTCACTGTGCATCCCGGTGTGGCCCGTCCTCCCTCTCCATTGATGATCATTGATAATGTTGATGTTGATGATGATGACGAAGACGATGACGATGATGATGACGACGATGAGCCTTCTGTGCCTCTGGAGCAATATCGGGCTTGGCTGGGTAAGTGACAAGTAAAGCAGATAAATATTTGTCCTGTTATGACAGTGTATTAAGTTAAGTGAGACATTTTTTTACGTAACTTGGGTTGAGTGAAATGTCTGTTTTTTAAATCTGGTTATCATAACATTACCAATGATTTACTTTTCAAAGAGACCACAAAAGCAAAGTGAATGCAAATGATCTTAATGTTAACAGTTTTCTGTTTTATCTTGGTCAAAATAAAAAAAAAAGAGACCACTTTCTGGCCTCGGTTGGACAATAAATCCATGTTTATCTTGTTTGTCCTGTATCAGATGAAGACAGCAACCTCGCCACATCCCCTATGCCAGACATGGATTCAGACTCCATGCTGGGTGGGCCTGTGGACGAGGAGGAGAGGTGGCTGGACGCTCTGGAGAAGGGAGAGCTCGACGACAATGGAGAGCTGAAGAAAGAGGTCGATGAGTCTCTGCTCACAGCCAGACAGGTGAGAAACGGAAACAGGAAAGATACGTTGATCGAAAATTGCTTAAAACATTTATCCCTGAGAGCATTTTTTGTTGTTGTTCCTGTTCAGAAAGCCCTGTTGCACAAGCAGCAGAGCCAGCCTCTCCTGGAGCTCCCCATGGGCTACAAGGAGAAGGAGATGACCGCAGAGATGATGCAGAAACGGGAGGAACGAGCTCGAAAGAGACGCCTGCAGGCCGCTAAGAAAGCAGAAGAAAATAAGAACCAGACAATAGAGAGACTGACAAAAACCAGCAAGGCCAAGATCAAAAGCATGAAGGAGAAGAAGTCCAAGCAGAACCAGTGCCCCATGGTCCGATATAGTGACTCTGTCCAGGGCATGGCCATCTCCTTTCCCACAGGGGTCCCTGCTCCGGACCCGGCACCTCCCTGTCCTCTGCCTCCGACCCGGGTGAGCTGCGGGGTCAGTGGCTGCGACAACCTGAAGAAATACTCCTGCTCAAAGACCGGGGTTCCTCTCTGCAGCCTTGAGTGTTACAAGAGGAACCTGCTGCTTGTGCAGAGTGCAGCCTGAACTCAAGAGGGACAGGTATCGATTGTAGTTATGCTCGTCCCACGCTGAGATACGATGAGGTGCCCAGAGTCCGCACGGTCGTAAATTCTTGATGAAATTTACGTTACACGGATACTCTTGACCACACACATGTGGAAGGTATAAATTGAACTTTACACTTCAAGCCTAAATCTTTTCAAGACTCAGAATCCAAGTCCAATGTGGATTTACTTTTTATCTAATTGTTTTGTGGTGTTATATTAATAATAATGGCTTTCCCTGCATTGATGCTGGTTACACAATTCAATTATGATATCAAAATCTGTGTACAAACATTCAATATTTATGATTTCTTGAAGACTACATAAAACCCATATTTTTGTACAAGTTTCGAGGTGTAGTAGTATTGTTTCCACTGGCTTGAGTGTCTTATTTTTTTTAATAATGTGTAAATTATGCTGAAAGACTGACAAGGGTCATCTATGACAGACAGATTAGTTTGAAAGACTGGAGAATGAAAAATGTTTTTTAATCTCAAACAATGTTCATTTTGGTAACAAATGAAACCATTTCCATACAAAACTATACAAACATACTTAAATTAATAAATGAAACTCCTTCCCAACACTGCATATAATTTGTGAAAATATCAATATAGCCTTATTTGCTTTGTTGGAGATGTGTGCAGCAGCATATTTTTTATTGGTCCAGCTTTGTAAACTCAGAGGCAGCAAACTGTCAGGGCGACTGCGCTCACTAGAAGGCCTTGTCTGCTCTTATCAGAGGTTTACACCAACATGTCTGAGGTATTCACTGATTGAGTGGCTTTTCATAAACACAAACATCTCTGTTCAGCCCAGAACTGCTTTTGATGTGGAACATGTTACCTGGTTGAACAACAAGGCACAAAAACGTCCTGGTTTGAACTTGAAACCAGCAGCTGGCCTGCTATTTGCTTATCACTGCTGTAAGGCCACGGTCATGCTCTGCTGTTATCTGCAGAAAGTCATCTGTAAAATGGAGGCACGTTGGAAGAGTCAGACTACACGTAGACCCATTTTACATTATCCCACAGAAACCAGCATAAAGTTCCCACGTGTTCCCTCTCAGGTGCTTTCCACAAGCACCACAGTCGGAGGCGTTTTCCTGAGAATGCAACTGATGCTTCATTATATCAACAAATCTCCTTGTCACTTTAATCTAAAGATAGATGACGCATCACAAGGCCAGGCCGAAGGAGAGTCTGAAGGCCATCTCCACAGGAACCTCTGCCACTGAGTCATGAAAACAGACGTAAAATTCCTGAGGGACGGGCTCCAGCAACATCCGTCTGAAAGTCAAAGGAAAAAGATGAGCGACAATGACTTCAGATGGAGATAAATGGCTGAATCCATATTCAGAGTGGAACTGCAGAAAATTTTACAAAAATAGTACAAAAAGCCCATGCTGTGACCCAATTATATTACATACTAATCTCTAAAATAATTTTATTCTAACAGGAAATGATACTCCTGCCACTGAATGTCAAACTGTGACTCATCTTATTTTTTGAGATGTTAAGTATTTTTTCTCCAACTGGGAGCAGCTCCTCCATTCCCTTTGTGCACTGCATAATGGGAGGATAATGACCTTCATAACCACAGTCAAAAAAGACTCAGTTATACTGTGTTTTCATTCTAAAAGTATAAAACGTGGCTATACTGCAAGAAAACTGAAAATCTTTTAAAAATGCAAAATATTGTCAGTCAGTTCAATAAGAGACAGTTTTCCCTCCCTCCCTCCCTTTCAGCTAAAACACCGTGTGCAGTGCTGCTGATTCATTTCAGCCATAACACAGCAGACTGAGGTGATAACAGAACAACTGGTACGCTTCATTGAAAGTTTAAAATAAAAGTGCTGCTCTAAGATGAAATGCAGACATGGTGGCTGCATATGGATCTAATTCAACTTTATCCAATTCTTTTTTACTATCCACAATATCCAATTGCCAGTAGCCACTGTAACGTACCCTATGACCCAGTAAGTCATGGTGGGAGCAGGTTTCCTCTGGTCGGTCCAGTTCTCCGGTTTACACTGGAACAGGACCCCGTGTTCCTTCACGGGCCCCAGACCCCAACCCCCACCCTGAGGCCTGTCTGCTGCCCGACGACCCTGCAGGAAAGAAAATCACACTGATTCATCGCATTAGGTGACTTTGACTTAAACACTTCTTCTTTTGATTGGTGTGTTATGTGAGATATTGTCTGAGGTTGAGACCAACATTCATGTACAACAGTATAACATGAGTCACCCTGGCTGGCAGGCTCTGCTGGAACGCAGCCCGTATGGAGAGGCAGCAGTGGTGGAAGTTGCGGATGAGCTGTGGGTGAATGGAGCCGCTGAGCTGAGCCACTTCTCTGTGAGTAGGAGCGATGAAGATTCCCTGAACAGTTTCCATCAGGACGTAGTGGAACAAGGTGTTCTCAGCACCTGAGGTTAGTCTGTCACAAACGCAGGACAGAAAGATACAGCTACTGAGAGGGCTTATAGTTTCAGAACAAATGCGTTTTTAGTTTTTGACATAAATTACACATGCGTCTAGAATGAATGAGGGATTATTCCTCATCACTTACTTCATGGTATTATACATCTCCTCCGTCTCCTTCTCAGTCAGGGTCTTCTTTAGGGTACCAAGGTAGAACGGGTTCGGGTGCTTCATCCGGGGAATCTGATGTCAAAACACACAACCAGAGTAAACGAGAGCATTGCCATTACATTATGAGAAGTACAAGGTCCATCCTACAAGACCCTTCCCGCCCATCTCTCTTCAGTCATCTCTCCACTTCTCCATATCAATCAAAGGTAAAACAAAAAACTGTGAAAATGTTCATAACATCTTTCAATGAGAAATCCTTCAGTAATTTCTGGATCTGAACTCTTCAGGAAATGCCCTTATAAGTTGAATCACTCGTTCCCTGGCCGCGGCTTTACCCTCCACTAAATTTCATTTTAAATTTAAAGTTTTAAATTTAAAGTCTGCACCTTGAAGAGGCCTCCGCTGCCTCCACTTCCATCAGACCCTCCAGATCCCAGAGAATCCCGTCGCCCCCCGAGCTTCCTCCCTGAGTCCGGGGTGGAATGTGGACTGAAGCCTGGAGCCATTGACGAACTGGACCCTGACCCAGCATCCATCTGTCCCTCACTCCCGCTGTCCGATAAACTCCTCTGCGGGCTGGACCTGCGGGACTTCTCCCCAAACAGGCTGCGGCCTCTGGACCCTGACGAGGAGCCTTTCACTGCCCCGGCTAGTTTACTGAGAACGGGGGAGGAAGAGGCCAGGCTGTCCAGACGGTCACGGGCGGTGGAAGCAGGGAGGAACCAGTCGGCACAGGAGAGGCAAGGAGCAGGCGGAGCATTCAGACGCTCCTGGATACCTGCCTCCAACACCTCCAGCTGCAGCAGCGTGGCCTTCACCTGCCGTCAGAACGTAAAAGAGTTTTAGTTGTTTCCTGTAGATGATGTAGATGAGTAAAATCTATGCATGTTATGTCGAGAAATTACAAATAAGTTCAACAAACAAGGTCCACCTGATCCACGTAAACACAGTCTGGTCCTGGAGAGCCCAAAGCTGGTGAAGCACATCCGCCTGCTTCTAACAGCACACACTGCATGAAGTGCCTCTGAGGTGGAGAGAGAGACACAAGCGAACACATGATTTATACAGTGAATCAATAACATAATAATAAACAGACACTGGGTGATGACGTAACAAGACAACATAAAGGATAGTGTGCCAGTGCCAGGAGTTTGATGTAAGAAGAACGCATTACGCCAGGTTCATGTCATTTCGGATTTTGTTACCAGTTTTCTACAATAAATAGCTCACGTCAACATTTTGAATTTTCAAAAGTCGTAATTTTGAATGGGACACTCACAATCTTCTGGAGGCTCATATCTCATATGACATAGCTCATATCTGATTTTTGGAGGAAAAAACAAAACAGCAAGCTAAGGTGGATGCCTCAAGTTAGCCAGAGTTCACTAACCCTAATTTAATGAACATAGTCTTATATTGTTAACACACAGTATTTATAACCCTCATGTTGCTGTTGATCATACAGCTGACTTGAGTCGTTTGATAACGTGAACACTCGTAAGTCGTAAACATTAGAATCATTTCGATCTCCATCATCCATCCCATATGACATGAACGCATCATTGGTCCAGACTATGTCCTTGCTTCATGTTGTTATTCGTTCAGCAGTCGGTGATTTGCCTGCTTACCAGCCCCACTATGAGGAGGAAGTGTCGTCCCTGTGGCTGGCTGTAGCCCGGCGTAGTGCTGTCGCTGCTGCCGTTAGCTCTCTGCTGGGGAAACACCTCCCTCCAGATGACCAGCTGACCCACGCGCTGCTCGGACGCCAGCGGCAGCAGACAGTAGTGCTGGCAGTACAGGCACACATCCAGCAGGTCCTCTTTAGGCAGATGGTTGGCGATCAGGTAGGACTGGGAGGAGGTGAGGATGTGGATGATTTGAAATCAGCATTTACAGTGAAAATTTGTTTTATAGAGCTGAATAAATGCAAAGAACATCAATATAGTGAGTCAAAAAAGTGACTTGTATGGTGACTTTAACCCCATTTAAAAAAGCTTCAAGCCCTTTAAATGTGCAGAACATAAAACAAACCACCTTTCCTACAGGTCCAAAATTGCCTCTGTATATTACAATACATGAATACAAGAAAACATGTATGTATTTATTTCTTTATAAAACTTTAAATGTTAAAATTTCTCTTTTTGTAAACTGTAGATTTTTTCATGAACATATCTTGCACTTAAGGATGTGTATAAAAGTCAATTCAGTTAAAAGACACCTCCTCTGAAACACAGTCTACCGCTCACTGTCCTCCTTCTCCCTTTTCCACCGAGTTAATATTTTAACAGAGTGATTAGGTTGATGATTTGTCACTGAGTCAGAGGACAGACTCGTTGTGTTATCTTGTGTGAAAGGCCATCTTCTGCAAACAGTTACTGTGAACTGGGTCTTTCATAGTTGACATTTAAGGATTGCTCTCTAGACGGTGGGGTACCATCAGGGGAGGATATGGATATGATAAGGCTGCGGGTGCTGAAGCACGCATGTGTGTGTGTCTTTGTTTTGACTATGACACCTACCTTGTAGAACAAACAGGAGCCAAGAATAACATACAGACGCCTCAGGCCAAAAAAGTCCTCTGACTGCAAAACATGAAGACAGAGATAAAGATACAAGAACAACTCGGAACGATAATGGCGTCTACTTCACTTAACTGCTCCCAGCATCAATAATCCCTCTGTAGTCAGTTAGTTAATGCTGCACATTCAAAGGACAAACCAGACCTCATTAGCTTCTCATTAAAAACACACACAGCGCACACACACATGCACATGAACATGCTTCTAAAAATAGGATAACCTTCTCCTCTCCTTTGCCAAAGCTAGTAGACAGATGGCGTCTCAGCTAATGTCCTAACAGCATGAATTTAGAAGTAATTTCTGTTTTAAGACCGTAGCAGGGGAAAACCAAATATTTAATTTGATTTTATTTGTTGTAAAAGTGTGTGTAAGTGACAACATGTTTTTACAGTCTTACCATTTCGCCAAAATCAGAAGACTCAAAATCAGAAAGAACAGTATCCACCTCCATCTGTGCACAGAGAAAATCAAATAGATGCTTAACAGCATTTAATTATTAGAATGGCAAAGATACTATATATGTCCAGTTTCTTGCAGTGATATTCATAGTCTTTGCTTTAGCATTGATCCAATATCTTCATGACAATCATTACATTTTCATCTAATTTCGATCCAGCTGGCGGCTACATACATCATGTGTCATTTTTAACAGAGGACACTAGAGGGCACCATAGCTGCAGTAGAGGCGACAAGTTCAAAATACCAACTTCAAGTACTTGAGGGAGCAGTCTCCATATACACACACAGAAATGCACCTTGATTTCCGGAGGCAGCGTGAGCCAACGGACCGCTGGCAGTCCGTCGAGGAAAAGGGTCCCTGAGACGTCGGGGGGCGGGGCTGAGGAGCCGTCCCTCAGACGGGACGGCTGGATCAGCTGCTGGAAGAACAGGCAGAAGAAATGGTCCAACCTGGGAGCGTGGTCCGCCTTAGAGAACGCACTGTGGAGGGCACAACGGTCGTAATAACACACTCAGGGAATAAATGGTAATATAGAAAGACGAAGGGTATTTAGGAGCAAAAAAGGAGTTAAGAGAGAGACAGTGAAAAGTTTGTATAAAAATTTTCCTTTAATCTGGTAGAAAGCACTATTTTTATTCTGGTATTTTTTTTTTATTAAGCATTAAAAATGGCAAAGGGGAAACTTCAACCAGGCCTCTCAGCAGGACCACAGGAAAGCAAAGACTGACAAACCTTTCTAAAGAGCCGTACATCACTTTTAGTGTCCGGACTACGTCTCCCACCACCGTCTGCAGATACAGCAGTGGAACCCTGGAGGGAAATGGAAAAATGTCAAACACAGACTTGGATAAATGTCAGCCTTAGCAGATCTAATGCCTATCAGATATATGGACTGACAGCCAGGAGCTATGACGGAAAAACATCTCAGACATGTTTTTTTTTTTTTTTCTACATGTGGGTGTTCCTCAAGAATCGATTCATGAGCCTTCAGGCATGACTGCGGTTACTTCTCAACCGTGATGATGATTGATTGGGCTGACCTGGTTGTTAAAAATGAGAAGGTGGCTTATGACTCATCTCAAGAGCCATTTTACAAGCACATGCTGCTTAAAGAGGTTTTCATCCTGCCAGCAAAGGACAAAAACCAGCACATGTGCAAGTTGAAATTGAGAAAAACGGATGGCCCTTTCCAATTGTTTTCACAGATCAGGCTCTAAAATGTTTCCTCTTCACCAAAAATACTTAATTTCTCGAGCACACGTCACACTCTGAGAATTTATTGCAACGCCAGTATCATCGCCCAGATTTTAAAAAACGATATCCTGCAGATTTGTGGTCGGATCTTTCCCACCTGCCATACAGACTCTTGCCAAGTGTTGGGCGCGTCTCTGCTTTTGATTGCTTTGTTGTTGATTTCACAGGCAGAGGCTGAATCCCACATTTCAATAATCTGTGTGTAGCATGTTTGTGTGTTTGGTGCTGCCTCCCTCTACCTCTCAGCAGGAAGGCCAACGACCAACAGGTTGTTGCTTTCCTTCCAGTAGCCCACATGAACCAGATGTTTCCCGAGCAGGAGAGATGAACTGAGGAGAAGACAGAGGAGAGATAAAAATGGATCATATGTTATATGAAGACCAGTGAAGTCTGTTTGTCTTCACACTGCTTCTCTCCTTATGGGCCACAGGTTTTGATTTGAAAAACAATATGCAAACAAACTGAATATACCTACATTGTCTTCATCACACACCCAGTACTGTCTGACACAGTTAGAGGGTTTGGTGTGTTTACAAAATAACAAACCATTATGCTTAAGTATTCAGGGCACCATTATAGATGAAAAGCTGTTAAGAATCGTTACATGATAAAGAATATTGCCAGAACACAGAGAATTTGTCATTTAGTCAATCAACATATAATTAAACAAAAAATAAATAAAATTAGCTGATTCCAGCTTCTCCAATGTGAGAATTTACATCTTACAGCAAAAACAATGTAATGATAATAATCTGCAGATTAATCAATAATGAGGATAATTCTTAGTCACCGTCCTGACACAAATTTTGTTTCATATTTAGACCCTTTATTTTACACTTACACACACCAGTGATGATTGCATATTACTGTGTTTTGTCCACGCTGCTTTCCGTACCTGATGATCCTCCCTCCTGTGACATTCTCCAGCATGTCACACAGAGTGAGGAAGATCCCTCTCACTCCTTTCAGCTGGCTGGATGCTTCAGACACAGGGTACTGGTACAAGATCTCCTCCTGCAGACACAAAAAACACACAAATATCTGGTTTAAGTGCTGCTCTCTGCCTTGAAAATTATATATGAAAATTATATACGCAACTGAGAGAAAGATCTCTGGTTAGCCTATCAACAGAAAATGTCACGTAAAAATGTGAAATATCTGCCGTTGGATGCTGCAGTTACCAAAATTTATGTCTGCTCTGAATTGTGGACAAGCAAAGAAGAATGAATGGATGAACCGCTGGATGTTTGTTCTGTCACCTCAACAATGTTTGGTTTCAGTTTAGCTGTCAAACCCATCTTCACAAAAAGTCACTTTAAAGATGAATGTTTCTCAAATATTTTATGGTTGACTTTCCACAATAAAGAAAAGCAGATTCAGGAAAATACAGGAATTGAACTAATGCTCTGGGAATCTGTTGTCTGTGTTCTGGGAACCGGCTGTGCACAGTTCATGTTCAAATGATTACACTGGTACTTCTGCCTTGACGTACTACGAACACTTATTTCTGCAATCTGAGAATCTACAGGATCAATTCTCGCAGAAAAAAAAAAACACTTGGAGCACAAGAGAGTGCATTCAGTGCATTGTTGTGCTATTAGTATTCCTCCCAGCATGCTGGCAACTTTGAAGGATACACGGTGGGTAAGAGCTGAGCTGCTGAAAGGGTCAGAGGACGGAGTTGGTGGGTGAGGGGATAAAAACCTTGAAAGAACGGCCCCTTACAGCCTTGGCAACCAGAACAAAGGCACTAGCAACTGCCTATGGAGGATATTCCCCCCCGGGGGTCAAAGCTTTGCACAAGGAGTCCGCTAAAAGTCTGTGAGTGCTGCTGAAGCAACAACCAGCACAGCAAAACCCTTCAGCCACATCTTTTCTGTACAAGCAAGTAAAAAAATAAAAAATACTCACATCATCAAATCATCACACGGTTGAAACTCAAAAATACCACCGCACAACCCTCTCCAATTTCTGCTACTCTGCAATCAAAGGACTAAAAAATCAAAGTCAGAGTTTAGAGGGTTCTAGCACGGCACTGTCATTTAGAAAATCAACCACTGGCTGATGTGGCTCCAGACAACCCGTGCTCTCTATCTGCACTGTCGTTTAGGTCAAGACAAGAAAAAAAAAAAAAGAAAAAAGTCTGGCTTGCAAATACACGAAAAGGAACTGCAGAGCCACAAAGAAAACATAAACCTGCCAACAGTCATCCGCAGGGAAATTGTGATTACAGTGCAGAAGGTGTCGGTCAGCAAATGAGTGTGGTTTGCTTCTCAGAGCAAGAAAACACACACTTTGGGATTAACATTTTACTACGAGGCAAGCTGTGGCCCACCTTATGGGATATAAAACACTGCCCCTCGCATGGATCCAATTAAGAAAAGGAAATACGTTATTTTGTTTATAGGCTGCTGCACTTCAGCCAAAAGGGGAGTGTGTGGATTCACCCTAGAGAGAATAAAGTTCACAGCTTTAAAATGATGGATCATTTATTGACAGGAGCTGTGCTCGGGGCAGGGCTCCCTGACTTCTCTCATTTCTCTCCCCGTCCTCTCTGTTTCCTCTTAGTAGCACCCGCAGGCGATGGAAGCCGTCCAGAGCAGTAGTTTTCTGAAGAATCTGACTCACATCACAGAAATTCAGAGACAGATTTCCAACTCCTCGACGTGGGATTTCCAACACAACTAAGGTCATTCTTAACACTCAGGTATCAGGATACACTTCGTAAGAATGTAGATAATAAAACAAGTCTGTTCAGCATAGTTCAGTGTTTTTAAGTGTTTTGTCGAAGTGCCCAGAGTCACCTTAGACCATAAAGTCATGATCAGGTTTCACTGTTTTCACCAATTTACTTTTCAAAGGAGTGGAACAATACGTGGTCACGCAGGGTTTAATATCTACAACAGCCTCTACATTCTGTTTATTGTCATTTTTGCTTATGTTAAATCTATTGGCAATATTTAAGCTTTATTTTTCCACTCTCAGCAGCCACTGCACACCTGACTGTCACAGAAGGTGGCCCGCTCTTTTCAGTGCTCCCTCTATGATGCTTTTTAATAATAGCCTTCTTTTCCACCGGAGGAACTACAGGAACCTTTTTAGAAACTTGGGAACTTTAATTGCATTTCGACTGGAAGAATCGGCGTCTAAATGTAGCTCTTGGGATCATAGTTCCTGCCCTTCAAAATATCCCCGTTTTGATGGTAGTGCTTTCCCATGGTGCGGGAACTAAGGAGGTGGGGTTTGCTGTACTGAATGTCAATGATTGGTCAAGCGCACTTGCCTTTTCCAATATGAAACACTGTTTTGTTTTGTAGCTCAGGTCCTGTGAGTTCAACATTTACCGATGGTCATCTTAAACAAACACCTACATGGATATACGTCCTAGTTCCTACACTTTAGCTCTTGTCAAAATGGGTTTAAACTGAGGTTTAGACACATGTCTTTAGTCTGATCAAGGTTTGTGGTGTTATTTGTCATTCATTCATACATTTTAATACAAACTGACCTCCTCCTGTGGCGATGCTGAGTCCAGTTTAAGCGACAGGTACATGACAATATGCGGGATGTGTCCTATGGACATCTGGAGTTCTGCGGTGTCCTCGCCCCACAGCAGACGCACCAGCTGGCTGACTGGCGGAGAGGCCTTTGTCTTACGGGTTGATGAAGTGTCACTAGCATTGCTGCCGTCCACCGGAGCCACTGTCTCCAAGGTCAACCTCACCTGGAAGATGTGGCAAGAAGGGAGATGGAAAATGAGAGAGGTAATGGAGGAGAGACGGTTGTGAAAATCCAGTAATGGAACAAGGGATCGGAAAGGAGGCGAGAAGAAAGGGATAAGTTGTGGGAAGGAGAATAATTCATAAAAAAAGGAGGACAGAAAATGGGGGAAAAAGCAGCTATTCTGTTATAATATCACTGCATCAGCCTGCCCACCAGCCCCCCTCTGAGTTTTCATTCATTCAGTCACTATGGCTCCACATGATTATACTTGGCGAGGGATTTTAACACAGCTCATATGTCTGTTTTAGGAAAGTAGAGGTGTGCATGTGTGCCATGCCTCCAGAAGGAAGAAAAGCTTCAGTCATTACAGATTCACTGAGGGGAAAAGGCAGAAAAGTGAATAGCAGGATGGCGATTGTCAGAGAGAAAGTGACACCGACATCCAGACCCAACCGCAGCATAACAAATAGCAGGGATCTGTGTGTGTGTGTGTGTGTGTGTGTGTGTGTGTGTGTGTGTGTGTGTGCGTGCGTACGCTTGTCTGAGTGCGTTTGCCTAAATTAAAACCAGACCACTGCAAGCCCAAGAAACAGTGGCAAGACAACAGACGGTCTATCTTCATGCAGTAGTTTTTTTTTTTACTTTCCATACCCCACTGTTTTATTTTACATTGTCATTCACAGCGAGTCACAGTGGAAACAGAAACAGAGCTGCGTGGAAATCCAACCGGCACGCACATGGAAACACAGGCAGTCAAGATGCATGGCAGGATGAGAAACTGCAGCTCTGTGGCTTCTCTGTTAAAACGGTCATTTGAGTCTCGTACAGTCAGTCAGCGTCCGGCTATAACTCGCAGAGGCTGTGTGTTGACCTCGCAGATTAAGATACTACGCATCATAAGTCTGGAGAAAGTTGAATCTAAATCACAGGACTGGAGTTCTGACTGAATATCATTTTTCTTTCAATTAAAACTTTCTACAGACTTTGAATCTCCTGGATGAATGAGATGAACTTTCACACATATGTACGTATATATTAGTAATACCTCGAAAAATGACATGTTATGCACAGTCGTTCTTTGTACAGACTGGTCCCAACAATCCCATTAAAAGAAATTTCTAACAAAGAAAGGTTTCATATATAGACACGCCGTGGTGGCATAGCGGTTCACACATTGTGTTGACTCTGGGCCGAAACCTGTCAGCGCTACAGAGGCCGTCTGTGGAGCTGAGCGGAGGTCAACTCAAGTAAATCAGAACCACAAGTGACTGAAATCACCGGTCAGGGAGAACTGGTTAGGAGTCCCGAATAAATAAAGTTCTGTAAATGCTCTCAGTTCTTTTTTTTTTTTTAGAAAATTTGTTAAACTTTTTCCTACTTTAATTTTATCAATATATATTATATTTAAATATCCTATATAGGCAACACAGTAGGTCTGAGTTTCCTCTCTCTGAGGCATTGGGTAGAAAAGCTGTGAGGCGGCAGGAGAGTGGAGGTTCTGCTGGGATTTGACCTCAAACCACCAGGGACCTTGTTCTAACCACTCCGTCTCTACTGGCCGCGCCCCAACTATATTTTGCTGTTTGACTGAAACACAAAATGTAAAATGTGCCATTTATTGAGCACGCCACACATAGAAATGAAGAAAAAGGTTTCTGGCGCAACTAACCCAAGAAAATCAGTTAGTTATGCCCAAAGATATACAGTATATGAGGTGTTGTGAACACAGCTTCTGAAGCAGGAAGCTCTGCATTATTCTCAATGCTAGACCATATGGTGCCTACCAAATATGTTGAAGGTCTTATTCTCTGGTCAGAAATGTTGAAACTGTATTTTTCTAATCCAACGATCACTCCCAGAAGTCTCCAAGGCCTGTCAGCAGTAACCACAGGCCACACGCCTCTCCAGTAGGCGCCTACATCTGGGCTCGCAGCCATTTTAGCCAATTTCAGGGGGATATTATTAAAGAAGAGCCGAGTAGTGGTGGAACGCCATGTGATGTACCTTTTAATTGGTGACCCTGTCTGGCTCACTCGCAGTCTAAGAGGGAAGTGAGAGGCAAAGACTGTGAAATGGATTTAAAACTACCACATCTTCAGTTCTTTAGGATTCACAAAGGACACAGGAAATAGCTCTGATTAGACTTGAGCTGAGGGAAACAAATTCAGACATGAAGAAAGGGCAGAAAACGTTCAAATAGGCAAACTCTAAATTTGGGAAATAATTGGATAAAGAGGCTGAGTAGGCTAAATGCAGCACTTTCTCTCATCATAAATAATAAGGATGTGGTTAGACTGGAGTGTGTGCTCTCTGAAAATTCCAGTCTGTTGATGTCAGTCATTTAGCGCTCGCTCATGGATGGGCACACACACACACACACACACACACACACATACACACATACATACACACATGCACACACGTGAAGGGGTAACTGTAGTTTGTCCAGGGTTAGTAAAGGGCACGGTGGACTGACTTTAATACTAATATTTACTCCCCCAAGCATAATAAGTACTGTCTACGTTCCATCTGGGAGGGCTGGCACACAGAAAAACCACCCTCCAGCACGCGCACACACACACACACACACACACACACACACACACACACACACACACACACACACAAAACAATCATTCTGTCAGCAATACAACTCTATTTCAAGTTTTTTGAAAGTCATCGTGGTGCCCAAGGAACGTTGTATTTTTCCAAAAAATCTCCCTCGCTCTTTTTCCCTACGATGTAATTTCGCTTCTGACTACATCTTCTAATCAGCTGAGCTTTCAATCCCACAACAGCTTCCTGTGGCACCGAAAAAGAGTCACTCCACAGGCCCGTCTATCCGCCGTGCTCGCCATCACGGTCTGTCATTTGCAAATTCCTACTTTTTGATGGTCTGCTTTTTGGTGCAAATGCACAACTGAGGCACAGACTACGGATTTTTTAGCTACCGATCAAAGGATCATTTCTCAGTAATTGAGGGTTTTCTGATGTTAAACGGTGCTGGCTTCTGCTTTCTATATACATTTTAGCATCTTAGAAGAACCAATGTGTTAAGTAAAGTAATTTAATGTCTATATTTACTCAAGTTAGCTGTTCGTGTTCAGCGTTTTGAAGGATTTTGAAGACCTAAATGCCACCTCACAGATTTCGAAAGATAATCCAATCCAGTTCTAGCTGAGATATTAACTACTTGTTTTAATGCATGGCAGCAGATATTTTGTATATTATAGTTTGTTTTTATTTGATTTTTTATTTTTTTTTAGATTCACAAACACTAACCTGTGTTGGTCCTGGGATGCAGGACAGAACCCTCTCAATGTTTTCTGTGGTCACGTCCACATCGTCCACTGCTACAAGCACGTCACCTAGACACAGCACACAGACAGTGAACATTTATATGTAGCAGACCTGAATCAAGTAGTAAATAAAAAATAACTAATGCTAATAGATGATAGCTGGTAGTGTATGTCTAACCAGCTTAAAGTCCCATATAGAAATGGGTTTGCCACACACTGATCTGACAGCGGATTCTCTTGATGCACAGGTAAGTATAATAATGTCCACAAGAAAGGGAAGGAATTACACCAAAAATCAAGGCATGCTGACATGATAGCAACAGATTTTTGGCGTTTGCAAAGTGACAAAGCTGCGTGGCTGCATTTTTTGGTGCGATTCTATAACAAGAAAGCACCTTTAAATTTATCTGCATGTTATTTAGAAAGACAACACAGCCAGTACTGACTGATCTGCAGTAAAGCTGTATTTATCGTAACATTTGACCCAGTTTAGGGTTAGGAATGAAATACTGACAGTCAATAATATTCACTTGACTTATATGGTAAGTAAGAGCACCACTTCAATATGAATTGTATGTGCTTTTGACCTATGCACTGGCCTGCAGAGACCTAGAGACACTGTAAAGAGCTTCACCTGCCTGTGTGCAGGGAGGCACACTACCATCTCAGTAACAGAGCTATTTCAGGTATTTAAACACTCTAATTGTTTAAGTATGTAGCTGTGCTCCTTAAAAGCTTCTCTAAACAGTAACTCATGTGGGTAGTCATTTGTGGTGAAGCACAACTGGCATTCCTCTGTCTGCTAGTAAAAACTGCCCAATGATTAGCCCAGATAGAGGAAAATCACTTCAGAGATGCCCCGCTTTCAAACAGGCAGATTACCATTTCTATAGGGCCAAACCAGCACTCAGAGTTTCTCCACGAAACTGTGCTGAAAGTCATACAAACACTGAATATACTGTAGATGCTGATGCTCAGAGCTGGCCATGAGAGGTAGCTATTAAACATCTTACACACATTTTTAACAAGAACTGTTTGGTTTTACAACACAGCTGAAAACTGAAACTCTGATAATGATTTGTATTACTTTGAAGTTGTTACTATGGATTCAACACATGGAAAGAGCTTGGCTACAATATAGACATGACGCAGAATAGAAAAACTAATGCAGCCTCAATTCCAGACCTAGTTCTTGCACTATATTCCTTCAGAATAAAAACAAATCTGTGTAGTAACCTTCACAAATTATACCTCATCTACTTTAGTTACATGGTTACCGCTGACTTGATTAGATGTTTTGAGTTACGCTCATCGTTTAGGCTTTGGTCTCTTATTTTCTAAAGAAATATTTGTGTGTGACTATGTAGTAATAATTGCAGCCCAATGCTTTGGCAGTGCATTTGTGTGGTGTGGAAATGAATGAGTCAGTGTTGGTTCATGACTCTACAGATGACTGTTATTGAAATCATATCTGCTGCATGGCTGCATTTCCCGGTCTTTAGGGTAATACGTTTTTTTTTGAGAATGGAGAGATCACCCTCTGCAAAAGAACAGTCACAAAAATCCTATTTTTATCCGAATAAAATTTCGCTCTGAACTTTTTAATATGTTACAATAGCTCTTAAACTCTTCTGAACACTAGAGGGGACAGATCATCCCTAGTTAAGAAGGTTGATAACATGTCTGCTCCTTGTAAATTTATAACTTGACACGATCTTCATGTACCTTTTCTGTATACTGTATATGCTTTTGTATAGTTAACTACCAGCTAACTGTTGGAATAATGATCTTACCAATTAGGATTTGGCCACATTTGATGGCTGGGCTGTTGGGTATTAATCCATGAACAGTCAGTCTTTCCTCGTGTCTGACAACTGTAGGGTCTCCCTGTCCTCTGCTCCATGAGGGACGATGTACCACACCGAGCAGAGCCTCCAATAGGCCTCCACTGTCAGAGAGAGGTGTTGATGAACCTCCAAGACGTTTAGGGTTGAGGTAGACACATACTTCCTTCAGCTGCTGCTGCTGAACAGTCACACCCTGCTTTTGGCCTGGTTGGTTCTTCAGGATGGATGCTGGTGGTGATAAAGTCGAGTTGTCTTTACCCCCATCCTTCCCTCCTCCTCTACGCTGAGACGGCCGGCGTTTCCTCCTCAAGATCCTGGCTAGCCTCTTAAGGGCGGGCTCGCCTTTTGTCCGTGAACCGCACCGCTGCTTCTTCTTTTGCTCTGTGATGATCTCTGCTTCGTTTTCGCTAAAGCGGACGTGATTAGTGGACACACCTTGATTGGCATTCACCTGGGCCAGTGCAGCCTCCTCTTCGCCCTCACTCAGCTCCAGGTAGAAAAGCTCGCCATTCTTCTGAATGTCATCCAGCCATTCTGGTTCCAAGTCACTGAGAGAAAATAAAAAAAGCATTGAGAGATTTTAGTATTAAAAGCAGCAGTATGAAACTAGGGAGAGAGGGTAGAGCAGTAGAGGTGAGAGAAAGTATAAAGATACAGGACTAGATCTTATTTGAGATTGTGATGTAGCCTAGATGTTGTCTATTCTTGGTCTTAAAAGCTGCACTGAAGTGGCAAATGTTTTTTATTTGGCAGTTCTTGCTGAGTGAAATGCACAGGACTTTACTTGCCTTGCCTGCCATTATATCCACATTATTAATTTCTGTTCTGAGAGGAATTAAATATCCCCCATGCATAGTTTAGTATTTGGTGAATAGTCAAACCAACATGTTTCCAGAGTGACAGAAGGAGGTATTACATTTTTCTTCTTCTTACAGTTACTTCAGTTATTGCCCATGTGTATAGTGCAATGTAAAAACAAAATAGCTAAACTAAAAGCTACTATATGTACAAACCATCACGTGTTTGACCAAAAGGGAGTGTATATAATGGATATTTTTTCTTTTGGTTTCTCTTCTTTTAAACCTGCTTTGAAGAGCAGAACCTGTGGTGGGCAGCTTTGACATGACATCCATAAATTTACTCGGGATGGAAAGAAGCATGCAATTATTTATGAAGGTTTACCTCCCAAACTGAAAACCCTCTGCAGAGCTATGAAAAGCCCAAGAGATGGAAACTGTATGGATGGGATGACAATCTCTCTTTGGCAAAGCTGGTCACTGCCTTAGCAAAGTACAAACCAACCATCTTTATTATATGTGTAAATAAATGATCTAGAGCAGCCACATACCACTACTACATTTCACACCTACAATGTAAACCAGCAAGTGTCATCTCTTACAAGCACTAGCAGCTTTGGAAGACATCATATTGGTAGCTGCAAGAGCAGACAGATGGTTTGTTTGTTTGTTTCCAGTCTAGCCGGGAGTAAAACTATCTCCTTGCTACGCTGCTGAAGTTCGCTTCCGATGGGAAATTATAGGAAACTTAACTTTAAGTATGATTGCACCTCTTGCTATTGTGAAAGTGTCTTTGACATTTTGCATAAAACCTTCATTCTGTCTGAGACCCACTTTCAAATTCTTGTGACAACACAAGAAGGGAGAGTTTTACTCAGAGTAGTCGGAGCTGCTGAAACTCGATGATGTGGATTCACAGTCACTACCGCTGTCGTGCTCGGTTCCGTCCACTTCCGTTTGACCGCCACAAAAAGCTTTCTCGGGACAGTGGCGGTAATTTGCGGAGGCCATTTGGTCAGAAGTCGTTTTTTATTTCCTGCGTACTTTTAGCTAAACAAACGGTGATATTCTCTCGCCATGTTGTTAGCATCGACGAGACTTCCTCTTGCGCGGTCACATGACGCAGATACGTGTCATCTGATTGGTGGACGGTGCGGTTGCCCCTGACAACGCAGAAGCTTTGAGAGAGGATAGGTAAGAATGAACGATCTTTATCACCTGCAGCAGCGTGAAGTTCTACTCCCATTTAATAATGCAGCAACCACACAGACAACACCACAAACCTGCTCAAGTTATAACAGGTGACTTAAATTAAATTTATGAAGTGTGTAAATAAATAATAAATACATAAATCTAAATGAAGGAACAAATGTATGAGAACCACACAAAACCCTTTCTTTCTGCAATAATTAAAGCAATTAAGAGGAATGTATGACCTATGGATGCAATAACAATCAATTGTCTGTAACTGCTGAATTTTTTATTTGCACATGTGCACTTTTATTTATTTATTTATATTTTTATTGTTGCCCCTTATCCCTACCTCCCTGCAGGCTTGCACGAGGTTTTTAAATCCCCTCCGGTATTCAGCAAACTTCAGGCAAAGTGGCTTTGGCCAAACACAGGCACACAAACTTTAAGTTTGTAAAAAAAAAAATAAAAAAAATCAATCTCTACTCAGATATTTGTGCAGTCCTTGGATGATATAAAGCCTTTACTGACCTGTAAAGGAGAACACTGCGGATAGAGTCGAAGTCCTCCAAGTTTTTAGAGAATGAACCTCCATCTATAGAAATGTTAAACATCATTTGTGTTTCATGTTTTCGCCGGGATGAGTGAGGCCAACAATGCTGCGTTAAATTAAACTATCCAGTTTTTGAAGTTGCATTGTAAAAATCCTGCAAGAAAAGTCTGAAAACGGTTTGTACTCAGCCACCGACGAGATCAAAATTAATTCCTCTCCCGACCGCATGAGCACCAGCATGAGGCTGAACTGCGTCTCCAGGACCAGAACAAATCCTCCTCCAATTTCTCACGTCAATCAGTACCACGGAGAAGTAAACAGTTCAACACCAGCGCTTTTCAAAGGGAGAATAAAGACATTTTTTTTTCCTTTTTTTTGTCAAGGTTTGAGTGTTTCTCCAGGCCAGCAGAGCGGAATTTGTCCCAGCGGTTTTCTTGGCAGGTGGAGCAAAAACCCGCCTACTCTGGACTACCAACAAGAAGCTCAGCATACAAGCCCACATTTGTACCTTCATAAAAAACAGCATTGAAGCCTGAGGAAATAATGGTGCTGCACCACGCGTATCCTTGGCAAAACTACTGAATTAATCCAGGACACTCCATTAAAGCTATTATGTAATTGTTATTGGATTATTCCTACTCAATGCAAGGAACAAGAAACATTGTAATGTTTTAGTTGGAGGTCTTTTGAGCTGCTTTGGGCAGTTTATTGTATTAAACGCATCATGTTTTGTAGATAAAATCACAACCTGCAAAATAACTAAACCTAAAACTACCCTACTGAGCTGCATAAGACATAAGACACTTCATTTGTCATTGTAGGAATTTAGGAAGCATGTAGGAAATTACATTTGCTAACTCGCAGAGACCAACAGAAATGGTTAAACAGGATAAAACAAAAATAAACATGAAGACGTAACGTCCTCTATCTCTATATAATAAATAAGGGACTTAAATGAGGCAAGTAAACAGTGAAAGTACAAACCGCGCTGTATAAAGGATATTGCACAACATGCATTGTACACACCTGTATAAAAAATGTATATTTTTAGCCTTCATGATGTTTCCTAAGTTATACTTGGCAAGAGCCTGTGACAGATCATTTCTGGTATTATCTTTATGATAGAAAGCGTCTAAATAAACCAATGAATTGATATTTGACAATATAGCACTACCACTCTGATCATACTCCTTCCCTCATTGTCCCCAGAGGAGACAGTGAACGGTCATCAAAAGCGAAGAGCATGTGAAGTTAATCAAGTCTCTTCGCCCGCTTCGCGCTCAGAAAGGAGTATCACCAACTCTTCATCGTGGTTAGCGAGACCAAACACTTTAGAAACACATTTCTCGAGTCAGAAACTATAGAAATGATCCCTGAAAGTATAGTCTTGACTCTGGTAACGATTTGCCAGACTACTAGTATGAGGATCCTGAGCGTCACTGTCATGGTGCTCACACGACATGCCGTATACTATCTATATTTATTAAGAAAATTATCACAAATAGATCATATTTGAACTACAGATAAGGCCACTATGCATGTACTATGTAGCCACTATGAGTTAGCGACGTTTAAGAACATTTAAAAACTGGTAATAATAACGATTACGACTTCTGAACATATATTTACACACCGTTATACCGAAAATACAAAACACATCCTGCACATAGCAGCTGATTGAAAAACAATATATTAACCGTAAAGTAATGTATAAATTGTCTTTATCTAATATACCCACAATGCTGTCTGGTGGCAAAGCCCTCCTCCGTTAGCTCTCATTGGTTGGTGCGGTCCTATAGGCAGCGTGGTAGCTTCAATTGCTAACAACAACTGACGTGTAACTATAATTTTTAAAGCCCAGACGTTACACAATCCCTACGACATACTTTTTTACTGAATGTAGGTGTCGCAAAATGTAAAATAGCAAGGGGTACAGATAATGTCACTAAAGAAAAGGCGAGAAAATTACAGTTCAACGTTATGAAAAGCTAACTAGCATAAGGAAATGTGTGCGCCAATTTCTTTACTTCCGACCAGAAACGGTACTATACGATAGTTCCCGTGTATGACCTAACATCATAATGTTTTACTTTAATGAGAATTCCTGTTTAAGTCCAAGAAAACACGAAAAACACATTTTACAACACAATGTTCAAAGCCACCAATATGCACTTTTGTAAAGGTTAAGGCAAATGTGTATGAAGCAATTAATTTGTACTGAAAAAAAACGCATCCCTGTTTAACTTTGTTAGAGGGCTAGTAGGTGTAGCATCTTCTTTGTTTAACCTTGTTAGAGAGCTAGTAGGTGTAGCATCTTCTTTGTTTAACCTAGCTCGTGGGCTCGTCGTTTGTGTTAGTTGTAAGCTAATAGAAGATCATTAGCTTTTATTATCGTTTATTTGAATTTTGCCTAATTTGTATGTATGTGCCCCGTTTTTTTTCTTTATATTGAATTTTACTGTTCTTACTGTTTGTTACTCTTATTCATTTTACAATTTTTGTAAGTGAATGCTGATATCTAACATGTTTTATCACAATATTCTCTTGTTTAACTGTTTGTTTGTACAGCTGTTCTGTTCTCTTTTGGCAATAATAAAAAAAAAAGCCACATGGAAAATGGAATCATGTATAACTCAAGAAAATATTTTAGGAGTAAAATCCTTTAGGAGTAATTTATAATAACCAATCATTTTTTAAAAGTTCATTCTTTGACTCACCCTCACTGCATTGTATCGGTCTTACACCGCCCTCTTCTGGAAAATAAGCGAAAAGTTAAGGATGACGTTTACTGATGATTGTAAATACATGAAATAAACAATAATAAAGAAAAACAAACAAACAGGCCATTTATATCGGTGTGAACAAAACATTTGGTTTATTAATTGACATTTTTCCTATAGATTAAACCCCCCCTTTTTCCTAGCCCCTGACCATTTGTTTACGATGACGTCATACGTATGCGACGCTCACATGTTCGCAACCTGGAAGCGACTCCTTTCTCTGCTCAGGCATGTATTTTTTTTCCTTCTACCTTTAGCTCTTTTATATGCTGCTTTCAATGTATCATTTAGAGGATGTCAGAAATATCTATCTATCTACTGTTTGGCCACACACACACACACACACACACACACACACACACACACACACACACTTTCTGTCTTAATCAAACCCATTATTCCTTTTTGCTACAAAAACTAGAGAAATATCTGGACATTGACAGAAGAAAATAACGTGTTTTTAATGTATTTATTTTCACGTGATACATCTGAAGTCAGTGGATACAGAGGAGAGCAGCAGACTGAAATGGCACATATTCCCTCTGAAGTGTGTGACATGCAGATGAATGGAGTCTCAGAGGGGATGGATCTGCTTCACATAGATGTGGAGACTGATGAGGTGGAAGAAAAGCCTGGGAGAGGAGACGTGCTGTGTTCTGTAAGTTTGTTTACCAAGCTTACATCTGAAATAAGGACTATTTAAAAATCTCTAACCTTGTATAACTTGACATGGTAGCATTATTTTTACTGCCCATGTATTGATTGATTATTGTCTTTATTAATTCGGTTAAATGTAAAATAATAATGATACATGCATTTTCTGAGTGTCCGGAGAACAGGTCATTTACATGTTTTTAGATTACTTTGGTTGGTAAAACACAATTCTTCATGTTGTTCTACACTTCTACTGTTTTTTTGTTCAATAAAAAGAGGAATGTGTTGAGGAAACAGCGAAACTGGGAGAGGCAGCTCGCTGCAAAGAAGAGCAAAAGGAAAGAAGAGAAGCAGAGGAGGAAACTGAACCGTGAGCAGGAGTCAGGTAAAGAACCAGCAAACAGAATTAAACTATCATTTTGTTTTTCAATGACATTTAAGGTGAAAGTTACATTTCTTTGGCTTCTTCTATAATCAGAGCACCTGCTGTTCCTATGTGTTATTTGTCACGTAGGTGCCAATGCTGACTGTCCTCAGTTTACCAAACGGGTCATGAAGGCGATCACAAAAGAGCGTTTAGCTGAGGCCCAGACAACAGGGTCCAAACTCTGTGTTGATCTCAGTATGACTGACTGCATGTCTGACAAGGTAGGTGTCTGAGGAGGAAACCTCAAACCAGCAACCAGCATCATTCGCTCTCAAACATCCTGTTTTTAAAAACACTCAAGGTACAATGCAGCTAGTTTTGTTTCATATAATGGTGCTGCAGTTGTACTAGTTTCCACAGAGCAGCTTTTGTTCACCTGCTTCTCTTTGTGTATGTTTGTCTGGTTCAGGAGATAAGCCGGCTGGCTGGTCAGTTAAGAAGGCTGTACGGGTCGAACAAGAAGGCAGCTCGACCGTTCCACCTGTTCCTGACAGACCTGAGAGAGGACAGCCGTCTCTACAGAGAGTGCATACGGATGAACGACGGCTTCCTCAACTACATGGTAAGTCACCTCCCGCCGAAACAACTAAACCTGATATGAACTGCTAAGGACAGTTTTGCTGAACAATGCGTATGCGTATGTTGTCAGGTTAATTATATTGTGAACAGGGTAAAATGCAAAAATGAAACCTTAAGGCTTTGTCTTGGAGCTTAGCGTTGCCTCAGTAGTCCCACTCACCTCCTCTATAACTTGGACTGGGAATAGTTTTTATATTGAGCAACAGACTCGGACTGTTTTCAGTTTTCATTCCCTTCTCCTGCTTATTTCAGATGGACATAACAGAAGAAAGCTGTCTGGACCTCTTTCCTACAGAAACTGTCATCTACCTCTCTCCAGATGCCGAAGAAGGTTTGAAGGATTTGAATTAATTAATTGCACTTTAGAGTCAATTTTGTCTGTTTGTGCAGGGTTGCTGAAAGTTTCAGTAGGGGTGAATTTTATAGATGGAATTTCTTTGGTTGAAATATATCTTTTGGCCAGCAGAGGGAGCCACACGACCCCTTTCATTTGTCCATAAATAAAATTACTGCTGGTTCTGCCACTATTGCTAACTTTACTGCTGTTAGTGATAAAGTTGTTTGTACAGTACTTTACTAAATTATACTTCAATTCCACTTCCTCAATAAAACACAGATACTTCCAGTTTGATAAGAAAACTCAAAAAAATAATAATAAAAAAGAACATACATTTTTTTTTGTTATTTTTTTAAGACTGTTGGGGTGCACAAGTCTCCCTCATGTCTGCAGTAGTTTACCTCCAACAAACATGCAGCAGCAGTGAGAATATATATATATATATATATATATATATATTTGCATATGAGTGTGTTTGCCTGTTTGATTCTCTAAGATACAATTTTTTTTATCTTGTTTTATTTCAGCTTTGGAAACAGTGGATGCTGACAAGGTGTACGTCCTCGGTGGCCTCGTGGATGAAAGCATCCAGAAGGTGTTGTGCATAGATTATAACTGGACAACACACACTTCACAACTCGCTAATTCAATAGCTTTTGTTATTGATAAATGTCAGGTATGGCTGTGTTGATTATTGCCATCTCTCCTCTGCAGAAGTTGAGCTTCTCGCGGGCCGGAGAACTGAGCGTCCGCACGGCGAGGCTGCCCATAGACGAGTTCATGGTGAAGAAAAACAATGCCAAGAATTTCCACTCAAAGATCCTGGCAGTTAATCAAGGTGAGCGACGATTTCAGACTCTTTTTCTCACCTCTTTTGTTTGTTATTAATGAAGTCTCTCTCTCTCTCCAACAGTGTTCGACATCTTGTTGACTTTCTGTGACACGGGCAGCTGGTCAGACGCCCTGCAGGCATGGTTTCCCCCGGGGAAGGGTTATGTTGTTGCACCAGATGATTCCTCGCCACTTCCTGCAACACAGACTTTGGATTAATGGCGTCGTTTTCATTTCAGAAGCTGATGTGGACGGACACTAAGAGAGAAAGACTATATGTGTTAATTACCTGAGGGGAGCTGACATAATGGTGCCTGTTTAGGAAAGACAGCAAACTGTTGTTCAACATATCTGGTGATTTTTACACTGAAACCAAATAATGTCATATCTTGGGAGATGATTATCAGTTCTCATCTGACTTCAGGGTTAAAACCGAGTGTCACAACTGTAAGGGTTGTCAGGGTTTGAGGGGTAAAGCTGGACCCAAATGCAGCCAACACATGGGAGTCGGTGCAGACAGGTTTATTAAACTAACACAAGCACAGGGAACCACAGGGGATGACAACAGGTGACATGAACAGAACGAAGACAAACCAGACTTGAACAGCTTGAGGAAAATCCAGAAATCAACAGGCATGAACAGGCTAAGGATAAACCCCGAGACAACAAAGACAACAGAGGGACAACAGAGACAAACCGACCCAGACAAAGGGGAGCCCACAGACTATATAGACGAAGGAGGCAAGGGTGATTGCACACAGGTGAAACACATTAGGGCGGGGCAGACAATCACCACACAGAAACAGGACCAAGACAGGAAGCAAAAACACTGACACACAAGGAAACCAATTACAAAATAAAACAGGAAGTGCGAAAGGTCCAAACAAAACTAAGGTGTGTCTGCCATAGCAAACCATGACACCGAGAAGCATTTGTGACATTTTCTCGAGTAATTTTTATGCAGTTCAGCAGCAGTGAACAAGATCATTTTTAATTACTTTGATAGAGAATTAAATGTTTATTTATATTATTATAGTAAACAAATCCCTGAGGTTTGTCTACGTAAATTGACCGGGAATGAGTAGTTTTCTGTTAGCGTTCCTGCAGAGAATATTTATCTAATCAGTTCTTGTACATAAAATCCTAATATAAATATACAGTAGTTTTGTGTGTTCAGTATGATTTATTACATAGTAAATATTTTGCAACAGAAACTGAGAAAATAAATGTAGCAACTCTGCTACCAGGTGCAATTTAGCAATGAAATGGTTTAAAAGAGGGAGGATGTGTTGGAGGATTACCTTCCTTCAGGTCATGCCTGCAGTAAGAAATCTACTGTAACTTCTCTGTTTTATCTTTTTACATTTTTCAGGCTAATGAGCTGTGCTGTATCATTTTTAGAGATTCTTCAAATAGCTGGTATATTTGTTATCCACCATTTTTTCAAAGGGTTTTTTTTCCTGTTCGAATACAATCTGATCTTTTCTAGACCGATTCATCTTCTGGCTCCTAAATGACTGTTGGCAGAGAAACCAGAGATGAACATCGACTGCAGTGTTTACTGTATTTTCTGGTCCAACCAGCTTGATTGAGTCTTTCTGTATATTTGTATTGCTTGAAAATCTCTATTAATAATCTTAAAATTAATTTCTCAAAATCACTGAATCACCCAAGTGCCACCATTGAGGTTTTTAAATCATCCTTTGTCCTGTACTGGTGTATTCAGCAGACTAGATTGCTGCAGTGTTTTTTTTATTTTCATCTACTGGTTCTCAGACATCTCCAGTGATAAATATCAAAACACACTAAGATTTTGATCTTGCTCCATGATGCCGTCTTTCCGGCCTGGCCCTGAATCATGCTCTCCTTAGATAATTGCAACAGATTTCTCAGGACAACTGTCTCCTTCAAAATCCTAGATTTTAATCAAATTGTAACAACAGAGCCTTCAGTATTCATGCATGTGAAGCGTGAAACAACCTGCCTGCTGTTTGAGGTTTACACAGAATCTTTTGTGTGTGTGTGTGTGTGTGTGTGTGTGTGTGTGTTTGTTTATATGTAGCTGTCTGGATGAAGGTTTAACTTGTTTCATCACACGTTTGAGATGTTTTTGGATGGCATTGTGTTCAACAAATGTGAGTGTCTCTTGTAGGTTGCAACCCTTCACTCCTTTTTAAGGGATTTAAATTTTAATCCTCAATGTGGATGTTTTTTACTGTTTATCACCATTCTAATAATAACTAAGATAACAAGGATAATAACTATGATAACTAAGAAAAGAAGACAGGAAAAGAAATCTATTTCCCTTCCACATGATAGCTCTGATACTCCCCGACATTATTTCTTAAGAGTTACAGATATTTTTGTGGGAAAAATGTTAAATGAAATGTATCGGAAACCCTTTCTTAAATGACAGAGCACATGAATCAATGACAAGATAAATAAACAGCATATCTGCAGAACAAAAACCTTCTGGCTCTTGACATTGACATCAACGAGTGATTTCATAAATATCTGGAAGAGGGCCCCAGCACTCTCAGACACCAGTCAAATCTCAGTTCATGCTGTTTCATAAGCCTCTCTGCACAGAGTCCTTATGAAGGCTTTGGTTAAAACATACTTTCCTACAGCAGAGGAAGACGTTTTGAGATATCCACTGGAATCCAGACTGCTTTACCAACAACTAGTACTACTGCACAAACTGTAAGTTCTATGTTATGTATTCAAAATGGATACCCAGAAGACAGAGGGCACAACCAGAAAATGAATGCAATTTGGACTGAAACAGTTAAACAGTTTGTATGCGATACAAGTCACATATTAAATATTGAATATGACACTACCTCCTCACGCTGAGTGACTACCATGAATGAGGAGCTCCCAAAGAAATCTCCTTGGAAAAGTGATTGTGACATGTGGATGTTGAAATTTGTTTCCTGAGACACGAACAGTTTTAAAGCAGAATTTGTCTGCCTGACATAAAACCAAAATGAATCAATGTCTTGTGACAGGTTTGTAATATTGTGTCACTTCAGACTTTGTCAGTCTTGTCTATAACCTGAGGTCATTGAATTCCATGCATTGCTAATGATGATGCTGTATCAGTCCAGCCGGTGCAGCAAAGTTTAGGGGAATGAACCTGTCAATCAATGCACACACTCAGAGTCATGACAGTATGTTAAATCAGGCATTTATTTCTTTACTGTGCATTATAATGTCCTGTTTCACATTTTACTTTTTACTAAAGGCATTTTTAAAATGAATTCCTCTTAATACTGAGACCCGATGTCTTCAAGTCCTCAGAGACAAATATGTGGATTTGGGGAATGTAAAAAAAATTGCCTTTACTTGGAAGCGAAGGAGCAGCATGATGGCAAACCTCCATGGATGAATGGAGGTTTGGGGAAAAACAAGGGAAATCTGTACTTACAACTGTGCTTTCAAGAACAGGACCCATCAGTCTTTGACACAAACACTCAGATGATGCTGATGATTGTTTTGACTGATGATGGATCAACCATTACTGGATGGATTGCCAGGAAATGTAAAAATATTCATGGTCTCTGGAGGATGGTGAGGTTCACATCTGTGGTTTAGAGTGAAATGTATCAGCAGCTATTGGTTGGCGAGCCATTAAATTTGGCTGTGTGTTCTGTGTTTTATTCGGCAGCAAGACAAATTTGTGGGGACAAAAAAGTTGAAGCAAACATTTTATTTGAAGTGTTGATCCAGAAGAAAGATATATTAGAGCCAAAAAATATCTCAGTGTAGTTTTACATCTCCTTTCTCAAGCTCCTCTCTGGAGCTCTGGCAACAACTGTTCAGTTAGCCAATCAGAAGAGAGGCTCTACATACAAAACCAGTTTTCAAATAGTCACAAAATCAAACTTGTACAGAGAGAAAATATTTACATTTCAGGCCACACTTCACTCTTTACAAACAGTAGTCTTCCAACACTTTTACATTAGAGCTGGTTGCTTACTTTACATTGAAATATAATGACACACTTTTCAGCCCTTTATTAATTTTTTTTTCTTTTTCTGGAAAATGTGCATAAAATATTTGGTAAAAACAACCAGAAGAAATATCATTCTGAAATAGAAACTCAAAGAAATAAAACTACCACCGGGAAAAAAAAAAAAAAGAATAAAAAGAAATTAAAGATACACAGACTGGTTAAATTTTATGTGTCATTCTTTAAAGTAAAACAGCACGGCTCATTGTGGCAGAAAGGGGTTACAGATAAGTTGTTGATTTGGAACATAATGAATTCATGTCCGATTCTTGGGGAGTGGCGCTCGCTGATGTAACTGTTTCTCAAGAACAAAGTGGATCAGCTTCCTGACCCAGGAGGACCGAGGATTCAGGCAGACCTTCTCCCCGCTCGCCAGTCCAGCTCTGATTAAAAACACATATCACAGTTAGAGCCGTAGCAAGGATTTGAGAAACAATGAGGTCATGAAGTCTATAGAGCAAATCCACCCATACAATTCTCTCAGTTTCTTTTCTCTCTGGAAAAAAGATATCAAAACACACTCTGATCTAAATGCTTTTTCAAGGGCAACATGAATTCGTTACACCCTTGGGGGACAAGGCAATTCAAAGTGTGTCATGAGAGACAGAGAAGGCAAAAAGACAAGCTATAAAAGAAACAAACGGTAATATTAAAAGACACATAGAATAAAAGTGAAATAAAATACAAGACAAAATAAGCTAAAAGTCATTATTAAAATTATTAAAAGCCAGTGGCAGGGATGAAACTTTTAAACTTCAATTTAAAGCATCTCAGAGTTCGAGTTTTCTGGGAGCAGATATGTCTGATTGACTAGAGACCTGCTTAGACACCATTACAGTAATTGAGCCAACTAAAGATGAAAGCATGGACCGGTTTTTCTGAGTCTTGTGCAGGAATAAGTCCATTAAATCTTGCTATATCTTTAAGGTGAGTTTTCCAGTCTGTCTACTAACGAGTTTTGGTCGATGGTGGCAAGATCCAATAATACTAAGACTGAAATTTTGCAGCGGTCTATGTTTCAGTACATGTAAACAAAGTATTTTCCCTAATGCCAGAACATAATTCAGGTGGAGAAAGACAAAATCACCTTATTTTAGAATATTTTTGGCTTACAAATAGTCAAATTTAAAAATACTGACTGAAAAAACAACACCTACAAAATGTAATTTACATGTAATTGTAGTGTGTAAACTAATCCTCAGTTAAAACCCCCAAATACACAGTAATAATACTGAGGACATGTTTATACTATCTTCTATAATAAAACACTTCTTGCTGTTGTTCGACGCTGTAACAGTAATTCTAGTTTTTCTTGTTTGCATTTATTTGACTTTGTTTTACAGATGTGTCTGTTTTGATATCCCTGTACATGTCTACACCTGTTGTGTAATAACTTCTTGGCATCGATACAAAAATGTTGTTTTTACAAGGTACATAAAGGATCCGCACCTGGCACCCAACCATGGAGTTTGAGTCAAGTGCAAACCTTAACTGACTGCAAGGAGCTTTTAAAACCCCAAGAGTCCGATACTGAATCCTCATCATCATACCAGAGGCACATCACAGCAGCCCTGTCCAAATGGACCCAGCACCTAATGCAGAGATTGAACTGATGAAAGATGAGAGCAATCCAAATCACCCTACATCACAGTGTGATAAGAGAGGCCAGTGGGCCAACAAGATGGAGTTCATTTTTGCGATAATCGGAACTATCATTGGTCTGGGCAACGTCTGGAGATTTCCATATCTGTGCTTCAAAAATGGAGGTGGGGTTTTTTTGATTCCTTACATTTTCTTCCTCTTCACATGTGGAATCCCCATCTTTTTTCTGGAGCTTTCTCTGGGACAGTTAACTAGTCAGGGCATGGTCACATGTTGGAGGAAAGTATGTCCTTTACTTGAAGGTTTAGGCTATGGAAGTCAACTAATTGTACTTTACACTTCAGTGTATTATATCGTCATCTTGGCTTGGGCTCTCTTCTACCTATTCTCCACCTTCAACACTGTACTTCCCTGGGCAAGTTGTAACAACACGTGGAATACTGTGGACTGCGTTGATTATCGACTGAACCATTCATCACTTAATCCCGTTTCTCAAAACTCAACATCTTCAGTTGAAGAATTCTGGCAGAGGAGAGTCCTGGGTTTGTCTGAAGGAATCGAACAGATCGGTAACATACGCTGGGACCTGGCTGGGTGTCTTCTGCTGAGCTGGATTGTTTGTTATTTCTGTATCTGGAAAGGAGTCAAGTATTCAGGAAAGGTGGTCTACTTCACGGCCACATTTCCTTATGTGATGATGACTGCGTTGCTGATCCGCGGACTGACATTGCCAGGGGCCATGGATGGTATACGATTTTACCTCTCTCCTGATCCAACACGTCTGACGGATCCTCAGGTGTGGATAGATGCAGCGAGTCAGGTATTATTCTCCAATGGTTTGTGCACAGGCTGTTTGGTATCTCTGGGAAGTTACAACAAATACAACAACAACTGCTACAAAGACGTATTTGCCCTGTGCATGTTGAACAGTGCGACCAGCTTCATTGCTGGCTTTGCAATATTCTCTGTCCTCGGCTTCATGTCCTATGAGTTGGGTGTGAACATCTCAGCAGTGGCTGAGTCCGGCCCTGGCCTGGCATTTATTGCCTACCCTCGAGCAGTAGCTCTGATGCCTTTACCCCAACTCTGGGCTGCCTTCTTCTTCATTATGATTATCCTCCTTGGACTAGATAGTCAGTTTGTGTATCTTGAAGGTGTCATCACATCCATATCAGATATCTATCCATCCTTCTTTTTCACTGGGCATCGATGCAAACTACTTCTGCTGGTCATCTGTGCTGTATCCTTCCTCATGGGTCTCTTTATGGTCACTGAGGGAGGACTCTATGTATTTCAGCTTTTTGATTACTACGCCTGTTCTGGGATCCCATTCATACTTTTTGCCATTATGGAGTCCATTTGTATAGGATGGGTATATGGCGCTGATCGGTATTACAATAGTATTACAGACATGATTGGGTACTGCCCTTCACCTTATATGAAATACTGTTGGAGGTTCATCACTCCATGTGTGTCTGTAATCATATTCCTTTTATTTCTGGCCGAATTCACCTCTCTGAGATACAGCACCTACCAGTACCCGTGGTGGGGCTATGCCCTTGGGCTATTTCTTTCTTTCTCTTCAGTCCTCATTGCACCAATTTGGTTACTCTACTGTCTGGCTGTGACTCCAGGAACACTTAGACAGAGACTGAAAATGGTGACCACCCCTGCAAATGACCTGTCCCGAGCACCACAGAGGAAGACTCTCAAATCTGAGACTGCCCTCCCTACAGAGAACACCAATTTGTGAAGATGCCTGAAAAATAGATCATTTCTAATGGGGTTTGAAAGCTTTCTGAGGACGGTCTCATAGCTGTCAACAAAATAATAACTTCAACACTTTCTGTACAATTTATTGTTTAATTAATACTTGCCCTCAAACACACATATATAATTCCTATGTGTTTTACTTCTGACAACTTTGACAGTTTTGTTTAGCAGCTTGTTTAAGAAAAAAAATGTAATAATTGTATGTGGTAAAATGTTTAGGTTTTTACAGGGTGTGTATGTGTACAGTATAAGTTGGGGAGATGTATATGTTATTTCCACTTTGGGAAATGAATGAATAAATGATCTTTCATTTTTTAAATGATGTACCATTAACTGCTTAGTATTGTTTCCTGTAATTTTTCCCTAAACGAATATTCAAATACTGTTTCAGATGAAGAAGCTACATCTCATTGACTTTAATTTGTTCAGCTTAATTTTTATTCCTAAAAGCAATATTCAAACGTATTATGTCAAAACAAGTGTATCTGTGTGAAACTGCTGAATGTAAACTCCTATCGGGTCATGTCAATAAAACTCTCATAAACAACATCAAAGTCATGACTGTCCTCATTGGTAGCCACAGCACAGGATCATATTTGGGTTTTATACCATCAATTTCACCAAATAATCAAATTCAAGATGTTACCTTTAGCTTTGGGAAATTCTGATGGCTATTTATCACATTGTTAATTGACTGTTAATGAATAATCCATTTGCCTTTGTGTCAAGAATTCACTTACATTACTTCTATGTCTGAGCAGTGAGGCCCTTCGGGGAGGAGCTTGATGCTCCTCAGATTGTCTGGAGGGATGATCCTCGACTCCACCTGAAGGCACCGACAGTGTGTGTTGAAGTCCCTGCTGATCGGCGGCATTCCTGCCGTCAACAGACATTCAGTCAGAACACAGATTTAAAGCAAACATATCATTAGAGGCTTTTCTTCTTTGGAAGAGATTTTGTAAATTGTGAAAATAAACTTCAAGTCCAGCAGAGCAGAGGCTGTTGCTGATTAGCTCGTGTTTTCTTTTCCACTATCACCTCAGCAGTGATTTACTTTGGCAGAAGTTTTAATTTGGCTTCGTCCTGCAAACGTTTGTCATTATTCGCCTGAAGTCACTAGTTCACCTCTTGGACCCTACAACAAATTCAATTTTACTGCAACCTTTTGTTCAGTTTTACTGAGATCTTGCCTTATCTTGATGAGATCAGGTGCAACATTATTCATGAATAAAATGCTGACATGCCCTTTTCTCCTAACAGGCACTTCTTCATTTTCTCTCCCACTCATCTTCCTGTTTACTACAAGTTAAATACGCAGAGTCAATGTGCGGTAACAGTCATATTCTGTATTCTTACAACAAACTGGAAAGACTCACTGAGATGTTGTAATACACGATGAGTCCAGTCAGTGATCATCATTTAAATTAATTCTATGTGCATAAAAATGTTGCACATTCAACCCTTCTGTGTTATTACACAATCATGTTTTTGTGCATTGGGCCATTTAGTGGATCCACCACTCTTTTTAAATTCTGGTCAAAATCTGAAAGTTTCCAAAGACAATGAATTAATCTTACAAAAAATATATATATAAATTATTATTATTATTATTATTATAAAATTATGCACCACCTTCCAAGCAGCCACTGCTTTCCATTTCATTTGACTAGAATATAAAAATCACCGGGAAGACTTGAAACATTTTTGCAGGTAATCTATGTCCGCATTTATGTTTGCACAAGTTACTGTATAGTCATGTAGCACAATAATAGACATTTCAAATTAGTGACCACTAACAGCTGCAATACCGTGCACCAAAAGCTGAACTTTAATGACAATAAAAGCAGACGCAATCTTCACATGATGGAGCAAAAATTGATTTTCATTTTTTGGTGAAATGAATAGAAACGAATGGCTGCCTGAAATGTGCGAAAGCACTTAAAAAGTCCTGCAATCCAAATTTCAAGAGGTTAATTATTATTATTATATATTGTCACATACTGGAGTTTCGTCTAATGTTGCAAAACAGTGGTGGTTCGCTCACAGGTTAAAAGAATTCCCTATTCTGGATTTTGATAGCATGTTTAATGTACGAGGAAAGTTGAGTCAAGGGCAGCTGGGCTTGGCTGGCACACCTGGTTGTGTAACGACAGTTGTTAGAGTCACCTGAGGCGAAGCGTTAGCGGCAGTTGTTGTTGGAGTCACATGAGGCTATCTGTCTATTACATTCACACTTGGCCTTAGGTGACTTCCAGCAACTGTAATGACAAATGCACTAACGAACCAAATGACATCAATGGCCTTATTAACGACCCCACAGAGGCTGAACACCCGGATCTCCTCACCTGTCAGTCAGAACTGAGGAAGCCTCTTGGATCAGAGTAAACATCTCCAACTATCTACGAACCTGGATGTGTTTAATGTCCCCATGAAAATCAGCTGTTGTTACCAGATTTACATTTCTCCATACATCTCTGAAGCTTCAGTTTCCTGTACCCCTCATTAAACGTTCATTCCAAGCTGCTTGAGTCATGCGCCGCACTAAAACCCTGACCTTAACCACAGGAAGTGTGTGTAGCTGTGTAGCTCTTACCGTTAATGTCAACAGAGAGGGCCAGAAACACAAGCACCACGCAGAGCTTCATCCTGTTAAGGCAGCAGCTGATGTCCTTGAACACAGGCAGATTTTGTACAGCTGTTGAGACTGTTTACATACATGTCCACTCCAGTATTTAAACACACAGTGATCATGTGCTCCTCATCAACTTGGCTGTGGGAGATTTGAGGAAGAAAACCCTTGTCTGTGTGTGTGTGTATGTGTGTGTGTGTATAGGTTTCACTTTGACATTTCCACATGTGCAGCAGAAGATAGTCATGGGATAGTGAGGTTAGGGACAGACCAGAGGCCCGACTGAGGTTAAGGGACGACAGGTTGCGGTCAGCGGCTGCAGAACTGTATCACACAGATGAAGTGTGCCTGTCTGGACAATGGAACAACAGTCTTATTCCTCATCTGCTTGACATAACTCTGCAGAACAATTAAACTCTTAACTACTAAAAAGGAAATTTATAATGATCATCAGATACTGTTTTGTAAACAAGCTCAATTTTCCCCGAGGCTGCAGTACATATGACTCTGTGACACAGTGTTGTTGTTGATGATCTTAAGGTTTTATTCCTAGGGGCTTTTTCAGACCTTGCTCTAATCTTCTGGCACAGTTTTATTTATTTTCTCATTCCCATGTGTGGTGAATATGTGTTTTAGACCGGCTGTTGTATTTATTGATTGATTGTATTAAAGCAGAATTAGTCAATATTTTGCAGGCTGTGCAGACAGTGTTTTAACACCTAGCTCTTAATTTCATTTTCGGTTTTAATTAACAGTAATAAACATAATCTCCACTAAGTGTGTAATGTTGGACTGGGGTAGAGATGAAGATATTTAAACTGTTTTAAAAAGACAACATGAAAGTTAATTTTACACAAAGTATTAACACATAGTGAATAGTGATGAATCATCATCAAATTTAGCTGAAAACTTGTTTTGTGTCAGTATCTGCGGAAACGTCTGAAACAAAAGACAGAAATAAACAAATAAGCAGACAGACAGAAAGAAACCACAACCACCTCGGCAGCGGGTAAAGACTCACATCACCTTATTTTATGGACAGAGTGCTTTCTGGTTTGACTTGAGAAATATTGCTCCCTTATGATTGACAGCATGTGACGTCTGGGCCATGAATGTGGAATAAAAGTGGGTCATCATGCGAAGCCTCAAGCCCACATGACATGTAAGAAATGAAATGATGTATTACAGTATGACTTTACAAAATTGTGACCTTTTGAAAAACAAGGGGATATTTAATGGGATTTTTACTTACCAAAACACAAAAAGACCATAACACTGTATATATATATATATATACTGTCCGTTTTGGGTTGATAAGGATATTAACAAAGTATGTACACATATAAATAATACCTGTGACCAACTGATTGCTGGAATTTCTTTTTCCAGCTGGTTAGTGATGGAGGCTGGAGAGTGAACACAACAAAAGCTAGAAAAGGAAATAGAATAACAGAAAATAAGGTAAACTGCGTCTAGTTTGTTGGTTCAAGGAACAAACATGTTTGGGAATGTGATCGAGGTGTTCTTGTAAAAGAGAGATTGCCTAGCGTACCCACCCTCCAAGAAAGGCATGGAAAAAGACACAATACTGATCCGATTAAATGGTAGTGTGAGAGAAACAAACAGTAAAATATTTTGATGGTTAGGGAGTGGTGATGACAGATAAGAAAGAAAGAAAGAAAGAAAGAAAGAAAGAAAGAAAGAAAGAACGAAGGAATGTCAGTCCAACCACCAGTATGGGATGAATCAACAAATGTGATTCTGTCCAATATTTTAGCAAGATGGTGAACATCATAAACATTGTACCTGCTCAACTTATCACTGTGAGCATGTTAGCATGCTGACATTAGCATTAAGGTAAAAGCAAAGTATAGCCTCCGTCCTTTAGTTTTAACGTTGACTGTGGTGTCTATACATTTTCTTATTATCAAACCATGTGCACCTACAGCTCAGTCTTCGTGTTCATGAGTCAAGGTGGAGCAAAACAACAGCAACAGACAAATACAGATGATTGACTGCAGTGAAACTGTATGTACTAAATATTGAAGAATACAGCCACCTAGAGGAAAGAAAGGAAAGAAAACCACTTCCCCCGGCAGCTTCTGAGCTGAGAACTGGTTATTTATTCATAATAAAATACCAAGATGTCACAATTTTCTTTTTTAAAATATCAGATTTATTGCAGTTTTTCGGCTCTTCTCGGCAAGAGATAGTTTGGCAGATTATGATTTGAGTCTTGGCAAAAAACAAAAACAAACATGACACACATACAGATATGTGCGCACATAAATACACATTTGTAAAAAAGAAATTCTTCAAATTATACAAACAAACACAAATAAATCTTAATTGAAATTGCACATTGATTTTACACAGTCTTAGATCAGCGTAGTAGAGAAACCTTCTGCCCATTAACCATGGATTCAACCTTAAGGCAAAATTTAGATAGAAAAACAACAGTCCCATCAGTGTAAACACATCACAGATGGAGGGAAGGACTTTCCATCCCACCAAAGTATAATCTCAACAGTGTCTGTGTCTGTCCCTAAGGACATTTCACTGGCTTCACAAACTGTTTCTAAATATGCCATAATATATAATATAACACTCAGTTAGGGCTGCTGGAGTATTAAGTATTTATCACATTTACATCTTGCTTTTAGTTATAGCTGCCAGTGTGGAAACCTCATTCTTGTATCCTTCAGTGAACTACAAGCAAAGTAAAACAAGTCAGTTTTGTGCCACCTTTTTAAAAAAAAAACAAGCAGGATGTGCACCAGTCGTACCCTGACTTCAAGGAGGTGTGCTGCTCTCTCTGCCAATGAACTGAAATGATGAACATCCGGTGTATTTATGATACTGGTGCTATTGTGTTTGACGTTGTGGCTTCCACTGTGATGGTTTTTGGGACAGTGGTGTTCATCTTAGCAGCTCGTTGTGCCCTCTGCCTGTGAATACAAACATATCATGGTCAACTTTTAATTTGAAATTTCAATCATCTAAAACATTGGTTTCAACATTTGACCAAATGTCATGTCAGATGCATGTTTTTCTTCTCAACATTTTTTGAAAATGATTAGTTTTAATATGTAAATCTATTCAATTATTCACAAGCTAAAGAATGGATTCTTTGGCATTGTAAATCAATGCAAAACGATGCTTTCTTTCTACTCGGAATGTGACTTCAGATATGAGTTGAAACAAAGAGTCTGCGTCTCCAGATTTGGAACCACTACTCTAACTCTAGTGTGCAACTAAAAATGCATTAAATGTTGGATTGGGTTGCAGCTTAAAATATGCTTAATAGAAACCTCTTCTTTCCTTTGGCATCGGCTGCCTCTACTCGAGCAGCTGGAGGGATGCAGAAATGTTACTTTCTTCCCAAGCACTTCAATTGGCAAGCTCTCCCATATCTAATTACATGAGCGTCAATTCATGCCCAGTGGCATATGAAAGTGAACCATCTAAAAAAAAAAAAAAAAAAATGTCATTTGACTTACATTTCGATTACTTTCAGGATTGTTTGGGTGAATCTTTTTTTGGGGTCGAGACACATCAGATTATTGTCTTTCAGTAAGACACTGTGGGAGAAAGAGAAAGCTTTAATGTAAAACAACTCTCTAAAGAACACTTACAAATTACTGTCACTGGAAAATCAACACAAATCAAGCAATGACAAATCAGAAAAAAGGTCTATTTCTTATTTTCATGGTACTGCAGGTACTTACATCACTTCTGTCCTGTTGCAGTATGGACGAGGTTTATACACCTTGACATCAGTGATGAGATTTGGGTTCACATGCCCTTTTGTTTTTACACACTGGCAGCGCTTAATAGCTGTAAAAAAAAAATAGTATATGTATATATAGAAATGTTAGACCGAGCAGAAGAAGCAGAGTGTCAGAGTTTAGCTCATTTCAAGTCACATAAATGCAGAAAAACAACAAACAGTCCAATAAATTAGCACACTTACACATTGAAGAGCAGATGACCATGCAGGCCAGGAGGACGATGCACTGGATTGCAGTATTCATCCTTGTCTTAAATGGTAGGAATTAGTAGGATCTGCTGAATCGATTTATCTTTCGAGTCTCAAACTGTTCTGCTCCTCAGATATGCAGAATCTTAACTTTACTCTCCTTGTGGTGCCTGAGCATGAAAGACTGGTTGCCTCATGCTTTCTGGACCTCCTTTTTATACAATCACAGTGAGGCGAATACTCTTCCAGAGAAGTCTTGGAACCCCCACCCCCCACCCCCCACTCCGCTGGCTTCCCACACTATTGCTGCAACATTTATAGTCCATTCCCTCTTTCCAGAGAATCCAGGTTGACTAGGTTCAATTTTCACTTCCCTTTAAAGACTTCCTCCATGTGTATGAATGGGTTCCTCATGTTGAGACACATCTGCTGTTGGCACTGTCCCTCCATTATCAGTGTTCACAGTATTGATAGACCCTCATCCAGCATATTTCCAAACACTATCACACAAGTCACATTTGCACTGGCACTGGTTTTTGTCTGAGGTTTCTTTACCTGATAAAGAAAGAGTTTTTCCCTGCTACTATTCCCAAGCGCTTACTAATGGAGGAATACTGGGTCCTTGTTAATAATATTATAAGGAGTACTATATGAAAAGTGTCCTCTAACTTCTGTTTTAGTGATGTATCAATAAAGCTGACTTCATCTGACCCAGCTCGTTTTACCTCTGTCAGCCAAAGCTTTTAAACTACCCTCAGAAATCTTCTTTTGGAAAGGTGTCTTCCTGTTTTCCCTGGAGCACAAAATGTTTCCATGATCATTTTTGTTGAACAGATCAGTTTCCAAACAGTGACTGTGCATCTTAGGCTCCAATGTGAAAATGAATCCAATTTGTGCCTCTCCCCAAACCGTTGTGTTGATGGTAATAAACTATTTATTTACAGCCTGATACCCAGATTCTCGATGGAGATTGCTTTCCCACGTGGACCTTGAGCTTATGCCAGACTCACTGACAATCTCCACTTCTTTTTAATCTATTCAAGCACATTACATCTGGAGACAAAGATTTCCAAGTAAGTGACTCATTGCAGTGGTACGCAGTGGTACGCAGGGGTGTGAAATAGCAGGTCTAAGTATGTTTCTGTCTGTCTGTCTGTGTGTGTTTGTCTGAGTGTGTGTGTTTCGAGGGAAAGGGGCGGGGGGGGGGGGGATCGTGTTGCAACTCAGCACAGATGTCAATCAGGAGACAAAGAGACACACAGTATTTCAACCACTTCAGTTGCAGGGAAAGGTCCGTTGACCATGAATAAATAAATGAATATGACATTCAGGTATTTAGTCGTGTCACAAATACCAGGATTTAGCTCACACCTCATTCCTTTGGTCATGATCATGACTGGAAGAGAAGAGCAGACCACACGGAAGCAACAGCCAAGAAAATGGATCATCAAAGTTTAAAAAATAAAGTTTCTGATCGTGCTACTGTCCCCAGCACAGTGGAGGAGAAGGTGACTGCTTGGTCCCTAAAAGATTTATGCGAAACAGAAATTTGGTTTGCCAGTAAGTTTTCCCAAAAGTTCCTCATGCAGTTAGCCAAAGTAGCTCATCTAAGTCGTCTGCTTTTAATTTAACAGAAAGATCTGAAATGAATTATGAATTACATGAAAGTGAAGTTTATTTGGAAAGATTTAACAGGCTCAGCGTGCCCGTGATATGCCACTGAGATGCATGGTGAGTGCTGAGTTAGCATGACCCACATTCACAATGGCCACAATTATCCAAACGACTGTTTTGATGCTCAGTGTTTAAATCGGGCACAACAGCAGCACCATGGACAGAAGGTTTTAGTTTGCAATTGCAGTCTGTCGCACTTTGATGATGTTAGACAACAAACAAGTGTGCGCTGCCTGGTGCTCGCAGATCACAGTGGATCAAGAAAACAGATGTGATATAGTGACATTTTATTTTATGATGTATATTCTCAGTAAATAAAAATAAACAAACACAAAAAACAACAACAGTTTTGTAACACTGTATTGTCCAATACAAAGTCTTAAGTTAAGCTAAATGCTTTGTTACATCCTGGTAAAACATCAGAAGTGTGAAGACTATCTATGTGATTTCAGCATCGATCAAATTGTGATGCTGCGTGTTTTGGTGAGTGGGAAAGTGAGACAATCCTCGTGACATTTGGTGCAGTCTATGTTCGTGTTGTTGTTGTTTTACCTTTGCATCTCAGCCTCGTCAGGTCAGATCAACTGAGGAGAACAAAACTCTGAACTTTAACTTTAAAGAAAAGAGCCCTCAATTAAACAAATCATTTGAATACAGTGGGGGAACTTTTAAAAGGCCTTGTTTTTTATCTTTTCTGCTCTCATTCCTAAATCCTTTTCCAAATATGGACATTAGACAGTGTGTTTTTTGGGGGAGATATTGCCATATATAAAGGTTTTTTTTGTGGGTTTGAGGCCATTTACTGTAAAATCCTCCCACAGAGATAATAATGATGAATGCCTCATTAATTACAGACGCTGGCAACATTACTGACAATACAAAGGAAAAATGAATGGTTTTCATGACTATACAGTTTTGATTTGATTAACATGGGCTGTTACTTTTTTAACAATGTTCAGCAATGTTATGAAAATCAGCAACTTGTATTTTCATTCATTTTGTTAAAACCATAATATCTAGGGTCTTTACATTCAGTAGATTTTAGTTGGACAAGCTCTTCAGCTCAAGATCTTTCTAATCTCATTTCAAAACACGCAGAGCTACCAGTAATGTTGAGCAGGCTGGTTAATATCACAGTTTTTTATGTGTTGTTGCGTGAATCAGAATAAAGTGCCCCACTGTTTAGTCCAAGTTCCCTCTGGTGAAGTAACCCAAACTACCCTGTGGCACCTTTGATGAGCCCATGTATCTTAAAGTGCCCCTCACTGTCCCTCTGGTGAGTCTATGCCACCTAAGAGCCCATTTGGACAGTTTAATTAACACCTGGTCAATGTAAGTATCCTCTGATTAATCCAAGTGGCCAGGTGACTCTTTGAGCTCAGTTTAACTCAGTTCAACTCAGTGAATAGATAAAACACCAAATGATGCTTTATCTTCCACCTCTGCAAGTTTTCCCGCGTCTCTCCTCTTCTATCCTTCGCACTGGCTCCCGGTGAGAGCTGTGATGCTGGTCAACAGGATGGAGTTCATTTCAGCTCATGGACTGTGCATGCATGCTACTACAGAACGAATAACAAAGGCTCAAAAACTAAAACTAATAATATCTCATAACAAACGTAATAAATGTAAACTGTGGGTAAGAGTTTATTGCAAGACTAAAACAAGTTCTTGCAAGTTGTAAACACACGATAAACAACTGCTGTTTCATTGTGCATCAGTAGAATTTTTAGTCTTAGTGTGACATCTACTGGTTTGGTGCGTTAGTGCAGGATGTCAGTTTTAGACCAGCGATTTTTATGTGAAGGTGTGTAAAATCACGACACATGACATTAAGGAAATATCAGAAAGCATTGGTGTTGAGGCGCCCTGGTGGACTAGAGGTTAGGGGACCAACCATGACCCGCAACGTCCTGCTTTGCATCCAGTCCAGCAACCTTTGTCACATATCATTCCCCATCTCTCTCTCCTCTCATTTCCTGTGGTCTCTCTACAGTTTGCTACCAAATAAAACAAACAACAAATAAAACATTTAATGCCATTCTCAGCACTGATTTGTTATCATTACATCACATTAGATTTATATCATATAAATATCTATAAACTTTTTTCCTAAATTTTCTTTAGACATTCACCAAGCCAAACACAGAGACCTTGAGAAGATTTTCAAGGTGGACATTTACCCTGAAGCATATGAAGTATTACGGAAACAACTCTCTTGCTACTAACCTTAAAAAAAAAAAAAACCTGTTATTGAAACATGAGAAAGTTTCCGTAACCATACTAACTCACTCACCGGGAGGGAGAGACGCTGCTGCCAGAAAAGCCGCTCACTCTTCTGAGCAGCATGGGAATAAATGCTGTGACAACTCGCTGCTGCTGTGTCTTGTTTGCCCCTTGAGCTGCCAGTGTCCCCTGTGACATTACCAGTTATGAATTAGATTTTCATGCAAGTATTTTGTATGTATCAACATTAAGACTTAATCATCAATGTAATCATCATTGTTACACTAGGCTGTTACTGACTGCGATACCTGCACAGGTACAAACAAGGAAATGCACTCAAAGCCAAAGGTTGACTCTTTTAATGTCAATGTGGGTGTGTCCATTTGCAAATCTAATAGAACCACATAAGCATGAGGATTTACTGGAAATGAAACATAATAAAAACACTTCAATGATTAAGCTTAACTCAGCTCACGGTGACAGACAGAGCAGTGCTTTACTTTACTTGGTTTTCCTTTCACTTTTCAGTTCAGAACTGTTGGTAAAATGGATGAATATCAACATCCACTGTTTTTTTGAAGCGAAATCTCTCACAGACAGAGAGAAGCAGAAGCTCAGGAGACACTTCCAGACAAAACAAGGCGAATGTGGAATAATTGAACAAGCTGGAAGCAACATCTATAAAATCTGCTTCAAGATAAAAGAAGGTAAGTTGTCTCTTGGTGTTAAAATTAGCTGCGTAAACAAGACTCAGTCATGTCAACAGCCATGCTAGCGGCTGTGTGAGGCTATAAACAATGCCAGCCTGAGCATGCTCTCAATGACATAGTGATGACAACAGGGTTGATTACTATGTTCACCATATTAGCTTAGCATTAGAGGCTGATGGGACTGCGATAGCCTTAACATGACAATTGAAAATTTAACTTTATGAAGGGACAAGACGAAAAGTTAAAGAAATTACAACTCATCCTAAATGTGACATGGAGTAGTTCTTAACTTTTTTTTTTTAGGAGTGTGAGACTCTTTTGAGGCTGAAAATGTTTCTGTTTCGATATGTTCAATGTGATTAACCACAGTGACATTTGATACTGGATTATTGCTAATTGATTGACAGTAAATGACAGTTTCTTTACTGCATGTTAGGGAAACAGTCCTAGGCTGTGTGGCTTCCCAGTGTCAGTAATCCAATGAGACATAATGAAGAAGGCTTGAAGGGGTTGCACTGTGGAAAAGAAAAGGAACAAAGTAACCAAATATCAGTAAAACATCA